TTTATCAACCATTGTTATTATTCTATTTCTGTAATGATAGTTTTTGCTACGTGACGCATTACTCGGAGGGAAAAGCTGTTCTATTCCAGGCAAATCGTTTGCGTTTAAGATATTTTATTGCCTCAACTAAATTTAAAAATCATCCCTTTTGTCCCTCCTTTCAGAAGAACGCGTTTTGGTCATAACTTACCACTATCCAGACTGAGCATTCTAATCAAATCGATTATTATGTATTTTTTTTCTCTTCTTGCGTCTTATGTTTTCCTATAAGTGCTTGTAACATAAAATATTGTTTTTTAATTTTCTTATGTTCCTATGTATGAGTGTGCCGACCGTTGGCAAACTTGTAAATAATTTAATATTAAACAAATTATGAAAAGATACAGAATTGTGTATACCACCTGTTGGGTACTTATAACGTCGTTATTTGAAGCCTAGCAACAGCAAGCAATATTATCGTTAGGTGTATTAATTTATACTTTAATTCAATTTTAATTAATTGTACTAGAGAAAGAATGAATTTGGTACTAGACCCATATATATTTCACCATTTTTGAAGGCTTTTATTCAAAGTACTAATACCTCTGATTGTAATGAACTAAATTTTTAGGGCCAGGGTTGGAATTATTTGGATGAAGACGAAACTCTTGGCCGAGGCTCACGTCAACGCAAAGAAGTGGATTATTCAGATTCTCTTACTGAAAAGGAGTGGCTGAAAGCAATTGATGAAGAATTCGAAGATGACGAAGAAGAAGATGATGACGATGAAGTTCTTGATAAGAAGAAAAAGAAGGGACGAAAAAGGCGGTATGGTTATTTATTTATACATCAGAATTACACCTTATTGTAGAGGCAGGTGAAATTTGTAATACATACGAATAAAAAATCAGATTTTTTTCTTTATATATACATATATATTAACTTTTTAAATCGCCTTATATCATTCAAAAATTTAAAAATAAAACTGTTTTCATTCATTACAAATGTTATGTTATCTGTTACTTATGTTTAAATGCTTGAAAATAAAATATTAAAATGTAATTTTAGCCGCAATCAAGAAGAATCTGACGAAGAGGAGGCTCCCAGTTCCACAAAGAAAAAGAGTAAAACTGAAATTAATCAACTCAAAAAGAGATTGAAGAATATTATGAAGAAAGTCATTGATCACACAGACGAGTAAGTTACATTTTTTTATTATACTTACTTATTAATAAGAAAATTATAATTGCAATATCGCAAAATAAGCAAGGGGAAATGTATATAGTCTGTGCGGAAAGTAGAACTTCGTCGAATTTGAGGTCACAGTGCTAAATAAATTACCTTTTTTGTTATGTTGAAAACATTGTTACGTTATTATAGTTCGACAGTAATTATCTGTATACTTAATAGGAAAAGAAATAAAGTATATAATTGTTGTGAATAAATGAAATAACAATAACACACCTCTTTTCGCACAGATTACTATTCAATTATTGCTGGAGGTTTCTTTAAATTGATATTTATTATAGAGCTGGGCGCGTTTTATCAGAGCCGTTCATGAAACTACCCTCTCGTAGAGAGTTGCCGCACTACTATGAAGTCATTAAGAAACCACTTGATATCAGGAAAATCAACAATAGGATAGAGGATGGAAAGGTAAATAATGCGATACTGATTTTGTATCGATTTCAAAAAGCCGTTTAATGCCTCTAAATGATTTAAACAGTATTTAGATTATTTTTTAAACTAAAAATTAAAAAAATAGCAAAATGGACATAATGGTGGATACAACATCGATTTAATTTATGCTAAATTATTGTTAAATAAGTAACCACTTTTTACTCTGTGCGCTATAACGCCTAATTACAGGGTAATTTATATTTGACTTATTCTCGTTAGGAGGTATAGGAGTGACTTTTTCAGAAAATTTTAACCTACGCATTATGCAAAAATAAACCATTTTTGAGTTATCGTGTTTTTTTGGATAATTTCATAATAAGCCAAAATTCAACATCAATAATTTATTTAAAAACTATCTATTCAATTAAATCTCAATTTTTCGTCTTATTTATAAAAAAACGATTAAACGCTGCATCTGGAATTATCAACATTAAAACAACAATTATCGTTCCAAATATAAATTCGAGGCGAAAAACGATTTTATTTCTTTTTTTTTACTATTAGTGGGAAAAAAAGCTTGCTTTAAAAAATGTTTTGACTTGCCGATTATTTTAAAAACATAACTGTTCAAATAAGGTTGTATACTGTCTAAATACACAGAGAGACAAAGTTGAGAGTAAATTACACATTTACAACCCTAAACTATGTCAGAATTCTATGCATTTAAGACACTAATTAAATAATAGTGGATTATTTAATTAGTGTCGTCTTAATTAAATAATTAGCAATTATTAATGATGAAAATATCCGCTATATTCAATGGACAGTTTAAACAGAGATATATACAATGTTGTTATCCTAATATATTTAACTTTGTTTTAATTATTTGTTATATTTTTTAAATGTTGCTCCAATGATTATGTACGTAATATTTGGACCCACCAAAAATCACTGTTGCAAGCCACTAGCAACTTTATTATGCTAAAAGTAATTGTTTTATTTTTTCTTTCGGTCTTCCATTGAAATGAATGTCTTATTTGACGTGACACCTGTACTAAGTGTTGTCTCATGACTAATTATAACATTTTAACGTTGTTATTGATTACGATGTGCAGATGTTATGATATATAAAGATTAATATTTTATTTCAGTACAATGACATATCAGATTTAGAACGAGACTTCTTTACTCTGTGCGCCAACGCTCAAACATACAACGAAGAATCATCTCTCATTTACGCGGATTCTGTGCGCTTGCGTAACGTCTTTATAGAAATACGACGGAGATATGAAAATGCTCAGAATTCGGATGATTCAGATGATAATGAAAAAGGTACATTATCACGTAATTAATAGTAATCGTATGTATTCAAATTATTATTATTTATAGTAAAAAATTGTAAAGATGTAGCTAATACTACATTATTCAAAAACAAATACTATAATACTAAATCAAAGCAAACTTATTATGCCACTGAACAGATTTTTATGATTTGTTTACAGAATGTCCAAAATACAAAATACCATTTTATTTTATAATTAGCATTTTAGTATATTCGACGAAGTCGATGTTATCATACTACCAACCCATACTATATAATAAATACTCTTCACTTTGCGTTTATATTATAAATTTGCAAAAATCTTGGAAATGAAAACTCCTTCTTCCTATCCGGTGCACTCTTGACAGAGCGGTCGTGATCGCTATGAAGTAATAGAAGGGCCAGATGTGATGCGCTTCACGACGTTTCGCCATCGTTGCCTATTAGAGGTCATCCTGCTACACTGATTGAGTGAGTCTCCTACGGCAGACTTGATTTGGTCAGTCCAATGCCTAGGTGACCTTCCGCGCGGTCTAGTGCCTTCCACCTTCCCCTGGACGACAAGGCGTTCTATGGACTGATCACCACGCCGAGATACGTGTCCGAAGAATGTAAGGATGCGAGATTGTACTGTTGAAAACAGACGCTGCTTAATACCGAGTTCTTGAAGTATCGAGACGTTTGTACGAAACTCGGTCCACGAAACCCCAAGCATTCCCTCCAGCACCACATTTCCAGAGCGTCTATTTTCTGCTTTTCCACATCTCGCAAGTTCCACGTTTCAGCTGCGTACAGAAATATGGGGAATATAAGTGTCTTCACGAGCCTGGTCTTCGTGGCTTTTGTTATATTCCTGTTTTTCCATATTTTTTGCTTGCTAAAATCTTGGAAATGAAAACTCCACACTACCTATAATGGAGCGACATCTATTCTTACGAAACGTCAAGTTAAAGGTGTTGGCGTTTGATATACCCTTTAATTTAGCAGTTACATATAAAATGTTTGTTCACACTTTTGTTAAAAAAACTTAAATGCTACTAATAAAGTAAATAAGTTTTCTTTATAATTAAACTTTACAGATGAAGAAGATTCGGATGGGGACTCAAACCGTTCGGTGAAGATGAAGATTAAAATCGGTAAAGGAAAAAGCAAGAACACTCCTCGGAAACGTAAACAACGTAAATATATATCTGACGATGAAGATTATGAGATGGATTAATTGTAAGAGTACATTTTATTAATGACCTATTTTTAATAGCAGGACTATGATATGTTAGTATAAGAACTATGTAGTAATTTAGAATAATTATAAACCTATTTAGTACTAATTTGTGTTTTCAACATAGACTCTGAGTAGGACATTGATAATAAATTTTCTAGAAATCAGTAACATTTTGAATTTTACTTATATTGTCTCTTAATTCCATTTATTATCTGTGGGCTAGTTGCTGTCTATGTAGTCATAAAGTTTTTATGAATCCAACAAGTAGATGCAAGCAGTTATTTAGTTATTGGTGGTAGAAAATTGCCGTAAACATTGCACCATTCCTAACTTGTGAATTGGTAAGTGTTTCACTATTGAAATTATAATATTTAGGATATAAGATACATTGATTAACGCTACTGAATAAATCTCTCAGTTGGTTACACAAAATGCATATTTATCTGTAAGAATACAAACTCAAAAAGTAACATTAGGTTAATATTTTATTTCCTCTGACATTTTTTCTATGTAATAATTATATGATATTCAATATGTTCCACACTGACAACTGTGGTGTCTGTGAATATATTTATAATTGATTATTGACTGTATTTAGACATAATGAAAAAAAATTGGAATCACATTCAAATAAAAAAGTATTACATAAATATTGTTTTATTTTTGAATAGTAAATTTGTATTCATAACCTCATAATGGCATTCCTTTGAAACAATAACATGTATATCAGACAAATTTAATTGAATTGAAGGAATGAAAAATTAATTACTTCAATTTATATTAGACATAAAAGCCAAAAAACTGTCTGCTCTGAACAGTACATATTCTGGGCTATTCCTCCTATTGATAACATTTCTATTATAATTTTATTTGAATTGAGCTTTTAACTGTCCTTGATTCTTTCCACTTGAAATCTGCCCATTTATACTTTATGTTATGGACAGTCATCATATGTTTGTTAAGGCTTGTACTATATGTGAACCGTTGTACACATACTGGGCAAGTAAATGGTTTTTCTCTTGTGTGGACTCGTTGATGTCGCTGAACATCTCCACTTGAAAAGAATGCTACGTTACATACTCTACATTTGTAAGATTTGTCACCAGCATGCCTGTAAATGGAAAAGGAAGTAGTTTGTACTATTTTGTGGCCGTGCAACTGCGTGCCGCAACAAAGACGGTGAAGTTGTTAATGAGCTCGATGGTATACTCAAAAGATGGGCCGAGCACTTCAGTGAACTGCTAATTGGAACTACGACAAATGCAAACGTAACACCTGACCAAGATGACCAGACACTTGACACTAATCGGAGAAACGACAAATTCTTACGAACGGCTGAAAATGCATCCGCGATACAATGTCTTAAGAACCAAAGGTCCAAAGTCAAACAGGGTGTCCCCAGTCTTGTTCATGTCCTCACATACACTCCAGACTATACCAGAACATTGGAACTCGGGAGTAATCATACCCTTACTTAAGAACTTAAGATGACACTTTGGCCTGCCTAATTATGGCATAGGCATCAAACTACTTAATTCCGCATATAAAGTTCTCTCCAACCTAATTTATCGTAAGCTTCAGCCATATGTCGAGAATACAATTGGTCAGTATCAATGTGGTTTCCGTCCCAACATATCTACTATAGACCAAGTTTTTCTACTCAGGGCGATATTAAAAAAGATAACGGAATTTCTAATACCCTTAAAGTTTAAATCAGCTTACGATTGCGTTCTACGTGCCAAACTTTACGAGGCAATGACTGAATTCAAAATTCCCTTAAAATTTATACGGCTGACTAAAATGGCGATGGCTAATACCACTAATTGTGTTAAGATACAAACTGACATCTCCCGCGCATTTACCACGTACAATGGCCTTAGACAGAGTGACGCGCTTGCATTGGAGAACTGCATTAGAGATGCCGAACTAGAAGTCAGAGGTACTATATTTTATAAGTCCTTCCAAGTACTGGGGTATACAGGCGACCTGGATCTAGTCACGCGAAACAAAAACCACTTAGCGGAATGTTTTAAAAGCCTTCGAAAAGCAGTAAGTTTTATGGGCCTGTCAGTAAATGTGGAGACAACACCATTGGAAGCAGGAAAAGGGGTTTAGAAAGAAGAAAAGAGAAGGGGGGGAGAGGGGGAAGATGTAAGCTTTGAACAATATGAGGAGTTTGATTAGATGGGTTTAATGGTAACTAGTGATAATAATCCCAGCCGAGAGATCAATAGACACATGATAGCAAATCCCTGCTACTATGGCTTTTGTAACAATAGGGGTTTGAAGTTGGACGCAGGGAGCACTGGATAGATTGCGATGGCGAAATGTACTTGAGGAGGCTAAGGCCCACAAGGCGCTGTATAGCCATTGATGATGATGATTATCGTCAGTGTCCATGGGAGGCGGTATCACTTAATATCAGATGAGGCTCCTGCAGTTTAAAATATATAAAAAAAAAAATTTGCATCCAAGTTAACTTGGAAAAGAGAATGCACATAAGTTCACATGCAGAAAAAATATTATTAATATAAATAAACAATAATTGTAATTAAGAAAAAGAATTTGACTGTTACTTACCTCTTCAAGTGAACAATAAGATTTTTCTTTGTATGAGTCTTATAACCACATAAATGACATTCAACTTTCTTTTCTAAATTATGCTTCTTCTTATGGTTTAGCAATTCTGAAGATGTCACAAATGTATCTCCACAATCCTCACAATTGTAATTCCTCACATTATAGTGACGGTGCATATGATCTTGTAAGCTTTCTTGTGATTTTAACTTTTTTTGACAAAGATTACATGAAAATGTGGCATTCTCATGTACTTTAGAATGTTTTTTCAGCGTAAAAGCATGTTTGAATTGCTTTCCACATTCAGTACACATGTAGTATGTTAAATTACTATGTGTCTTTTTATGGGCTGAAAGACTAGAAGATTGTGTAAATGACTTCCCACATTCACAGTGATATGGTCGCTCTCCATTATGTCTACGCATATGATTTACTAAAGTTTGACTGTGTGGTGTACTATAGGTACACCTTGAGCAGTGATATCTTCGGCTAGCACCAAATCCTGTTATTTTTCCCACATTTCCTTTGTGTGTCTTCATATGCTGTTTAAATAACATACCATTTTCTAGCACTTTATCACACATCCTACATTGATATTGGCTTAAACCTTTATTAACATTTTCATGGGAATCTAAAATTTTAACATTTTATTTAAATGTAATAGTAGTCTTTAAATGCCAAGATAATGAAACAAGCTTCATTCAGCAACATACCCAAAATTTCATCTTGATTAACAGGTAGCTCATGATTAAAATTATCATCTTTGTTATCTTTTTCTACACATTTTCTTAAATCATTATCAAAATATATTTCTTGGCAGATAGTTAAAAACCTCTCATCAAAAGTAATACATTTTTGGCGGAACTTGTTAGCCATCTCCAACTCATCCACACATTCATAACAAATAAGATGTGGCAAATTCTTTTCATTTGATAAAACTATTTGAAAACATTCTAATAAAGTATTGAGTATGTCTTTAGATTTTCCATCTGGATTAAACAAATCCATAGCGTTATTTACGCAATTTAAGCAGATTCTGCAGAGAGAAGAGACGTCGGCCACTTTATTAGTATTCATAACACTCATTAAGAATACATAAAATACTAAAGCTAAATAAAGTTTCGGTATTTCTAAAACTAGTAAATAAATTTATATTTTTATCGGTTTTTGTTTTAAATTAAACTCGTGACGGCTTTTAAATTTTGTTTAAAGTAGATGTGTAAATATAAAGTTTTTATATACTCATGTCCTCTACTAAATCTGTGAGAATGTTATTAGGTATATAATCACATATAATATTATAATAAATAATTATTAATTATACAGTAAAAGTTACTGTTTTACTTTAACCCACAGATCAAGTGGAGATGTGAATAGAGGTCAGCTTTGTCTGTTGTAGCTCTTTGGTATTAACCATAGACAGCGAAGACTATATTATAAAACAGACTGCAGTCTGTTTTTAAACGACTTCCAAAAATACCGAGCTATATACCGGCTGCGCGCTGCGAGTAAAGGCCTCTGCCTCCTCTGCCCTTGAAGAAGGGAAGCCTAAAGGCCCGCCCCCGAATTAGCGATTCTGCGCGAGACCAATTGAGGCGATCTTCTGCCATGGTGCTTCTTAGCCATGTTTTTAGTCTTCTGAGGCTGCTAAAGGATAGCTCTACTGTACAGGTCGTGCATGGTAAAGCGATCAAAATTTTCAATGCTTTTTCCGTTTCGGGAAATAAGGAATTTGTTTTTTTTAGGACATCAACAACTGTGTGCTGCCAAAGTTCGATTTCATTCTTTATGTTCGGTAAATCATAAAACTGGGCAATAGATTCACAAGTTTGTTTCAGATTTTCAGTTGTCATCTTTTACATCTGCGCCGGGTGTAACTTAGATAATGCGAATGATGGCGGAAGGTAATAATTCAATCCAAGTATGGTATTACTAAAGACTTCTTTCAGTATTTTGAAGGGCTTTGTCTTTGCTGGATGATTGCTTCTATGACGTTGTTTCCCCGTAATACGCGGCATTAATGTAATGTAATGTCCTCCTCCAGTCCGACTTCCTCCGCAACAGCAGTAGCTTCCTTTATAATTTCGTTTATCACTTTTTCCGGATTTTCATGGTGGTTTTTAATTAAAAAAGTAAAATCCTATTAACTTGTTCCGCGTCTTTGACCACGTCCAATCTACAGATTGGAGTACGTTGACAACAGTTTCCATCAAAGCCTTTAGGGTTGATTGGTTCAGAATTATTTGGTTGATGTTAAAATAAAAATCCCTAATTGTTTGTAGAGAAGAGGTGAAGATAGAATGATTTTTATTTACAAAACTATGTACATTATGATACCCAAAAATTATCCTACACTTGCAACTAGTATTAACATGTAGTGCCAAAATGCGGAGGGTTGTGCAGGTACCTGGCAAACAGGGCAGGCGATAAAAACGCGGCGCGGCAAAAAATTTACCCTTTTCTGCGCGCAGCCGTCGAATTGTACGAACGTGTTGTTTCTTCTCAGAACACTTCGATATCGTAGCCTTACGATAACGCTAATAAACTGTTCTTTTCAGAACACATTATCGTATCTTACGAAAACGTTTATCACCTGTTCTTTTCAGAACATATTATTGTTTCCCGACGAAAACGTTTAACTGTCCGTTTCAGGACATATTACCGTGTCCTACGACAACGATGAAACTGTTCTTTTCAGAACACACGACCGTATCTATTCTGATCTGTTCTTGTCAGAACACATCACTGTTATCATTACGACACGTTAACTAATGACCTACATGCCTACCAACATAATCCCGAGAGTGAAAGAAATTTTGGAAGTAGCCGCATGCAACCAATTGTGTAACGGCAACCGGTGAAATGAAACCCATATCATGAGACATGAAGTGTCATACAGTCAAAACTTCTTCTAAGTCCTTTAATTTCTGAAGAAAATCGAATCTCCTATGCTGTTTTTCTCAATGCCTTACCATAAAAAGTGACTCGCTCGCAGCGGCTCACGTCTTTATAATATATACCCAAACGATTATGTCGTTGAAAGAAATTCAATGCACACACACACACCATACCTACCTCCTACCTACATATTTTTACACTGTTTAATGGCCTTGCTATTTGAGAAATCTGATATAGTCGTAACAAAAATGGCGGCCATTTTAAAAACGGATGTCAAAATCTTAATGTTATTCTGAATATTTCAATACTTTGTACAATATACATTAGATAAACCTTGTGAATTGTGGCATGATACATTTGATCCCCCACTTGGCGACGCTCTTGTGACCAACGCAGATTGGTGCGCGCGCATTCTCGCTAATCCACGCGCCCACTAGCGAACCTACGGGCTACGCGTCATCAAACAAAGTGATCAATTCATCAGTCTGAAGTTGGCCTGCGTCAGTTGATCACGATGGATTCGGACGAAAAATTAATTTAGCTGGTGCAAACATATGAATACCTATTTAATCCAAAATGTCAACTACGTAAATGAGCACGTATTCTCGCGATGAGCGCATTCGTGCGGCTGCGCTTTAGTTGTAAAGAATTTGACGCTTCGACTCTGCGCTAGTATATAAATTGACCCTTAGGCCCTTTCTCCACTGCTCCGGTCCGACGTCGGATACCGGAATGAGTCATGAGAAAAATATCGGAAGGCCGGATTGCGCTTCTCCACTATATCCGATCCGACAATAATCGACACTTGTATATTTATCATGCAACACTTATATTAACTAAAACCCATATACTTAATTTTATTAATAAAACGTTCTAAATTCTGAATATTTTACTGCCCTGGCAAATTTATTACTTTTTTATATTGTCTATCTTGAAATATTATAATCTACATAATAAATATTTTTCTTTATTTCAAGAGTCAAATGGGCTCAGCTCCCTGGTGTTTACCTTGACGGTGTGGCCTTGGCCCTCAATAAGACTGTTAAAAACCTTGGGGTCTTCTTCGACCAAACGTTTTCCTGGGGTCACCACGTAAAGGAGATCAGCCGTAAACTTTACGCCGCTTCTTTTACTCTGAAACGTCTTTCTAATTTCCTTCCTATCCGCACTAAAGCTATGTTAGCGCAGTCTCTTCTGCTTCCTATTCTCGATTATGCGGACTCATGCTCCTCTGATTTGAACGAAGAGCTACTTGACAAGATCGAACGCCTGCAGAATTTCTGCATACGGTTCATATTTGGTCTTAGGAAATATGACCATGTGTCTAAATTCCGCAGGCAGCTGGGGTGGCTACCTATTCGATTCAGACGTCACGCTCATCTTCTTCAACTCCTATACTCAATTCTTTTCAATCCGAAAACCCCTGCTTATCTCAAAAATCACTTTAAATTCTTAGGTCCTTCTAACTATATGTTACGCTCTTCTAATAGATGTTTATTGGAAATTCCATCTCACACTTCATCCTTCTTAGGCAATTCATTCACGATCTCCGCCATTAAGTTGTGGAATACGCTGCCCGACTCCGTACGATTGGCTACCTCTCTGTCATCTTTTAAAACTCTTCTGTATAATCATTACTTAACCTTATCCTATCCTGATCAATCGTGACTTGTATAAATCTTATGTTTCCTTTTACATCACTATTTGCTGTCCATGTATTTGTAAGATTAGCTTTTAAGTTTTTAGTCTGTTGTTAATTTTTTTTTTGTATTACTTTAGATTAAGGTACTATGTATATATATATTTTTTTTTATATAACATTTGTTACTGCACTTCTCGCACGAATCATGTTTTTTTTTTTTAGTTTTTTCTTTAACTAGGGTTGCCTGGAAGAGATCGCTTATTAGCGATAAGGCCGCCCGTTGCATCCCTTATAAATTTTTTTTTGTATTGTGTTTGATTTATTGTTTTTTGCAACGAAGTGTTAATAAATAAATAAAAATAAATAAATAGTTCATTAATACTATGGTATAAAAAATATAAATAAATAGCAACAGTACTTACGTGCTTCTCCACTACTCCGGCATCCGGTTTTTAACGATCCGATAACTTGCTAGATCTGAACGCGGTGTTTTATCGGTCCAAGCATATCCAAGAGGTTATAAATTATTATTCACAGGTTTATTTATAGTTTCTTTAATTTGAAAGAATCTGGATAACCTGGACCAAACCAAATTATGTTGTTATTTATTTATATTTTTATACCATAGTATTAGTGAACTATTTATTAAGTAGATTATAATATTTTAAGATAGACAATATATTGTCAAAAAAGTAATAAACTTGCCACGGCATTAAAACATTCAGAATTTAGAACGATTTATTAATAAAATAAAGTATATGGGTTTTAGTTAATATAAGTGTTGCATGATAAATAGACAAGTATCGATTATTGTCGGATCGGATATAGTGGAGAAGCGCAATCCGGCTTTCCGATATTTTTCTCACGACTCATTCCGGTATCCGACGCCGGACCGGAGCAGTGGAGAAAGGGCCTAAGAATCAGTCGACGGCGTGTACCAGGCTCATTACCCACTCACCTATTACATAGTTTTTATTTTATTTTTACATTTACCCTTAGCTTGGAAATCGGAATCTACTTAAACACAATTGCTTAAGAAAGGATATTATACTGTTTATTTACATCAATTAACTTTTGAAATAAAGTTAAATAATAATTCAATGTCAATGTGTAGACCATGCCAACATTTCTTTAATATACCCTTAATTAACTAGCCTGACAAAATTTTAATGCTAACTCGGCTGGATGCAACATTTAGCACTTATGATTTTAATTAATTCAAATTTAATATAGCTGATTATAGTTTTAGGAACTTTATTTAATATAAAATAATAATACAGTTCAATTTGTATGGCTTTATTGATGTTAAGGGCCACTAAGCATCCTGAGCTTGAGATTGAAGTTTTTTAATGTAAGACTCCTTCTTTTGACTGACTCTGTTCTTCCTTTCTGCCAATGTCAACTTGCGTTTGGTCCACCTCTTTTTCTTGGCAGGATCCTTCTTGGATTCTTTCTTCTTGTATGATGGGTCAGCTCGAATGGCTTCATGAGCTTTTTTGTATGAGCCTTCCACCTGTGCAAAAATTTGATACATTTATTACATTTATTAGCTCAAAAACAGATTTGCATAATAAAGTTTGTGGCAATATAAAGTCAAATTCTCTGCAAGTAACAGAGGTATAAGACCATATAAGAGCACATTAATTTTGTCCAAATTCGACACTGTTGTAATTAGGTATTATTACTCAGTAATTTGGTTGGACGTTAAGAAGTTACACTTACTGTATCTGCAGCAACACCAAGTTTGATGTATTTGCCAAATTGTCTTTTGAAGGAATCTTCATCTTCTTGTTCCAAATTACGCATGTATTCAGCAACATGAAGACCAAAGATATGGGCTCTGAAGAATTAAAATAAGGTATATATATATATATATAGGCAAAATACATAACAGTGATTAGAAATAGCATTATTGAAGATGTGATTAAAACCGGTTCTAAAAATTAAAACTTAATTTTTATTACAACCAAAAATCTTAATATTAATGTGGCTCTGCAATGCTGATTGAAAAATAGTTACAGCTACTTTTCAAAGGATGAGTAGAGCAAGTTCAAATGTTTTTTATACAATCATCTTATATTTAGCAATAATTCGATTTTATATTTTACCTGTGCACCTCAGCATTGAATTTCTTTGCTTCAGCATCATAACCGGGGAACCTTTTTAGGGAGTGTGGAACGTTAAGGCCACCATCAACTGCACCCTTCATGGCACCAAAAACTCTCGCACCTGTAGTTGTTCTTGCAAGACCAACATCTAAGTAACACCTAAAAGAGTATTCATCAATCAAATTAAATTTTGATGTATGCTAAAATAAAATTGTGATAAATTTAAGACCTTGACAAACCTACCTAAATGCACCTGGTCCATTGTCAACTGGCTCTACATTGTACTCATCACCTGTAACTTCAGTTGCTCCAGTGTAAAGAGAATCTAACCCAAGCCTTTGCAACAGACGTCTTGCCAGCAATAAGCCTGTGCAGTAAGCAGCAGCATAGTTGGTTAAACCCACCTAATAAAAAAAAAACAATATTACATACTTGGTGTCAAAGTAGTATTAGAATTTGACAAAATTTAATGTTGTGTATTCAGTATTGAACATATAACAACAGGGTGTTATGCATTTGTACAGTGCTTCAGACCGCCCGTTCAAAATCATCATCTTGTCAGTATAAATAATTTGACATATACATTTATCTTTAATATATTGGACCTACACAACCAACGCCTAAGGAAATACAGCAAACTTATATCACTACCTTGACACCATAACGAGGTAATTCATGGGAGTAGGCAGCACAAACAATGTGGTCTCCTTCAATGCGAGAGTATGCAACCTGGCAGGTGACATCCTTGTTGGATAGACGGACAATCAGCCGGTATTTAGGAGTATTGTATTTGTTCTTGTCCTGAAAAAGGATATTATATTAAATTAGAACGAAATTTTTGTTTAACTAAATATGGCCAACTAATAATTACCTGAACAACAAGTCGTTTGCGGGCATAATAGTCAGTTTTTCCTTCACGACGCCTCCTAAACTTAACTTGATAACGTTTGAAGTATTGTTTGTTTTTAACTACTTTGACGAAACCCTGGGGAGTGAACACATCCTTTAATAAATGAAATCAACAAAATTTATGAACATCGATTAGATCGCCTTATATCAGAGACACTTTAAAATCATTTTCGTTGCTTCCGAATACAAATTACTGAATATAACACACAAAACGTGTAATTATAAACAGACAAATTCGTGCCCGTCCACAACATCAGATGACGCGCATGTGTCGATTTCTCATCATACAAACTACAAAGTTGAAGTACCTAACTTTAAATAATACAACTAATTTAGCCTGTAAGATTATCGTAAAAGTTAAATCACAATGTCAAATAACATATTTAATGTAGCGTTGGTCACACGTCGATAACTTGATCACTCAATACTATAGACATCACGGAGTTTACACCGAAAATACTTAAAAAACAAGTAGTATAACAGATAGAAGGAACACTAAAAATATATATTTTTTTTATAAATCTCACCATTTTAATTTATTTCAATTTAATTACGAGCACTCCGGCTCCGGCGAAGGCGTGCTCTTAAAAAGAAAGGATTATCAAAATCAAATATGTCAAGAGTCAAGACTAGCAGCCACTAGGGAAGTTTAATATTGTCATTTGTCAAATCAATATGAATTGTCGACGACGACGATTGACATAAGTGATGCGAGTTGAAAAGGTTTTTTTTAATTTATGATTTCAATTTATTATACTGAATTAAAAACTACTGCGTGCACTACGAGTATTAAATTGCCAATTAATTATTATAATAATTATTATGTTTTTATACCTATGAGATTTTAAAGCACTGGCGACATTTTATTAAAGGAAAATGTTAAAAAGAGATTCTATTTCCTTTCTCTATGGTTCGTTATGGCTTCCTTCTATTCATATCCTGAATTATTTTTGGCGGGTTTTATATTTACTTTGCCTTTTTTGTATGAAAAAAGCAATGTTTTTCGATATTACTTAAAGTTTTTCCTTTATTATGCCTATGTCTTAATTACTTGTACCGTTCTCTTACCAGTAGTGCTTCTTTATCCGCGCGATGTAACAAATCTAGTGTAAGTTATTGATTATTTTTATAAATATTTTCTAATGACCTTTACTTGTTTAAAAATAAATTCAAAAAATTCTGTAGAGTTGCTTCAAGATTTTGCCGATATGCCTCTCATATTGTAGGCATAGAATGGGAATTGCGTGGACTTGAAAATTGGAATAATGAGGAGTGCTACATTGTTATTTCCAACCACCAAAGTTCACTTGATATATTGGGTAATATAGAAAATACATATAAATAAAACTTTCTATAGTTGTGTCTTCCACTTTTATTCATATATATTCTACTCATTTTTCAAGGCATGTTTGAGATGTGGCCAAGGATGAAGCGTTGCACTGTTGTAGCTAAACGACCTTTGATGTTTGCTGGTGCTTTTGGGTTTGGAGCTTGGTGCTCTGGTCTTGTATTTATAGATCGCTTAAAAACAGAGAAGGCGCGAAAACTAATGAAGCAAGCAACTGAAAGAGTAATAGCTGAGAAGGTATTCTAAGTTGATTATATACAGTAGGGATTTAAATTAAAGCATATAGACAAAAAGTACATTTTAAAAATTACAACCATGTAAGAAAAACAGTAAGTTAAAATAAAATATTAATTAATTATTTTTGTAAAATTGGTACTTAATATTATTTTGTTTACAATTTTCGCACTGCATTTCAAAAGCTCTTTCTTATTCGACGGAGAAACATAACTTCGTGGCCATCAAATTCGTTATCTTCTGCCCATTTTAAAGCTCCTGCTGCCTCTGAATTACCGAGTTCTTTAACGCTTGCTCATCATCCTCACACATTGCCGCTCGCACAATCTCCTCATTAGTTAACACTTCATATCTTTGTATTCACTTTCGGCATCACCAGAAGCCCATTCTTCTGTGAGCTTCTGCCTCACTTATTTGAGGATTATTGGGTCCTCTCAATCGAATAAACTGGGCGAAAGGAACATCATCTTTCTTCCCAATATCTGGGAGAAATTCAGGGTGCAAATGCCTTAAAATCGGTCCAGCAATTAGCCAAAAAAAACACAAGATATTTATTTTTATGAGACCATGGCCTCGAACATAATGCAAGACAGCGACCAACCGCGTTTTCGGTAATTTACTTTCATTTTTCAACGTGTGGTCCATTGGTTGTATCCGCTTGGTGTTAGCGGCAAACATTGCAAAAAATTTGCCGTCTTCAGAGACCAGTTTATCTGCTGATGGTGCCCTGTACAATTATCCAACAATCCGGGGGGGGGGGGGCAATTAACAGATCGCCTGATGGCGACGAACCGCGTTAACGAATTCATTTTTCAACCACTCAAGAAACAAGAAACAAGCTTTCGTAACCCATGTATTAATTTTTTGCACGATAAAAAACAGGAAGACGTGGTGATTTAAATGCCCGCGTGTTTTTGATTTTCTGACAACAAGTAATTGAAGTTATAGGTTCCACTCTCATCTGCATCATTTTCCTTCCGGAAGCCGATTGCTCATTGCCAGAGGCTAAAGTATGATGGATCAAAATCGTCAGCATTGTAAACATGTTACGCAGTTAATTTTTTTTCTTTCATAAGTATCAGTTGAACTCTAGTTGAAATGATCCGATAGCGGCTTCATCAGTCGACAGCTTTCCACCGACAATTTTTTAACGACAGTCTCCGTGGCGTTTTTTAAATTTGTCTAACCGGCTTGCATTAAACCCGCTGTTGGAGTTTATAATCTGGTGATAAAAAATATGTGTTTATGCAGAAATCATATCACCACTAAAAGGAACATCCAATCGCCTTAAACGGTATTTTCCGATTTGATTTTCGTACACCGGGACCACGTTCTGTTAGGCAAACAAACCCCAAGATTTTGCCTTTGTTCATCTTTATGTCACCTACAGTTGACCTGCCTATACTAAACTTCCGAGCAATGAAAAGGTACCTGTCACCTTTATCTATATTAATTTTAATGTTGAATGTTTACGTGTCGGCGCCATGTCAGCGAACGCGCTAAGTTAACACGACATTATAGGCGATAAACAAAAGACTAACGACGGATTGGCTCATGGAAGCCCGCACCTACACCCACCTCCCCGCGAACCCCTTTGCGAGGCCGGATTACAGCGATCAGCGAACAAGCGGGAGTCCGAATTAACGAGGCCCTACTGTATTTTGCATTAGTATTATTCATGTAACATTATTTTTTATATTATTTCAGACCAAATTGTGGGTGTTCCCTGAAGGGGCACGATATAATAAGGGTTCAATTCAACCATTTAAAAAAGGAGCATTCTATTTAGCTATAGATGCTCAGATCCCAATTATGCCTGTTGTATTTAGTCAGTACTATTTTCTTGATGATGACACAAAAACATTTGAACCAGGTGAGTCTTCGAAACTTTAAATAATCAATATTGTAGACAATATTAGAAATGTTAGCTCAAGATAATTCATTATTATGATTGTTACCAGGCAAAGTGGTTATAACTACTCTTCCACCAATTTCTACTAAAGGTATGACCCGCAATGATTTGGAAACTCTCTCTGATATGGCACGACAGCAAATGACAGAAGTATTTAATGAATCCTCCAAAGATCTAGTCAGACAGAGCAAAATTGCTATGTAACTTCTGACATTTTAACATGTGTTAATTTGTTTGCCAGTGACATTGTTTTAAGTTAATTTCAATCAATCTGTATTTTTTCTAGTCACACTTAGTGCTTATAATATTTTTAGATAATATGTTGATATAATTTGTTGTCATATATACATTTGGCTTAGCCATATATTATCTGTCATGTAATTTGGCTGTGTATATACCTTATGTATGCTTATTAATTATTGTGCGGTTGTGAGACTGGGCGCTTGATATTAAGTTTAAGAATCAAGTTATACACATTTTTAAATTGTTATATTTTAATACATAAAGAAGTGTAGCAATTTAAATATGTACAATATAACATCACATAATACCATAAATACAAAATTTAACCTTGAATATTATGTTGTAATCTCATTTCAGGCATTGTTCCAGATACATGGTATTTACATTTATAATATATTATCCCTGTTTTTATTTTAAGCAATAAATAATTATACTATGTTTTTGCTTACTATCAATCATTCCATGTATCCTCCCAACCAGCATTTTCATCTTCTTCATTACTAGGTACAAAGTTTAATTTACAACTTAAATCTTGATTACTTTCATCTTTTAACAAAACAACTTTCTGTTTCTCTATAACAGGTGTCATATCAGCAAAAAAATCAAAATCATCATCTCTCTTAATCTGTTCCACTTTACTTTTAATATCCAATTCTGAAATGTCTTTAATTTTTCTTTTTGCATCTAGACCAGCTTTTTGTAATAGAACAGAATGGTCTTGCTCTTCGTGAGCATAAATATTACCATGTTGTAAGATATTATTTGTTTCTTGATCATCTTTTACAGAACTATAATCATCCATAGGAACTAGACTACGATTTGTATTTTCCCAATCTTCCCACTCTTCATCGGACTCATTTTTTAAATTTGAAATATATTGTGTACTTTCTATATCCACAGCCTCACCACCCACAGGAGTAGGGCGTTCATTTAAAACCAATGTTTGATCAAACATAGAATTTGAATTAAATATGTTCTCAGAGCATTGCTTATTTTGTAAACTTTCTCTATTTGCATATTCATCAGAACTTTTTGGTATAGAATTATTGGAGTTTGGTCTGCCATCAGTAAAAAGTTTAGTACGCTTTCCTCCTACTACAGTGTCAGCTCCTAATATTGGAACTAGTTCACTTAAACACATCAGGGTAGCAGAAACCAAGTCATCATCAGTATCCTTTATACCAAGTAGTAGCTGAAAATAAAAATGAATGAGAAATATTTAATATCAACAACCATCACAGATAATTAATTACACTTTTATAGATCTAAAAACAAGCATAGTTATTCTGTAACATGAATGAGACAAATTGGAATCCTACAACATATGTAGGATTATCTACAATAAATATGCTCATTCTAAAGAAAAAAAAGCCTTGTATTATTATTTAGTGTAAATGTCTTTAATCTAGCTGTCTTCTATACACAACATACTACTTCAATATAATTTTATGAATTTAATATAAAGGGAATTGAGTGTGCAATCTAAACATGTGAATTGAATGAGGGTAAAGTTGAGTCGCATAGAAAATATTTGTTTTTACCTCTGGTAAAATTTGGTGAGCAAGCTCTTCATGTGAAAAAACATTGACATATTTAGAGAAGTGGTTTAATAACAGCATTCTTATTTGACTATCTCTGACAGAAAATAGCTGTATTACTCTTGGTTTTAAATACTCTTTAAAGATAGAAACACTAAAAAATCCATTTTGTTCCCCATTCTGTGTTCTGTCTGAAAAATAAAATTAATAAAGATGCAATATCAAAATGACATTTAATCATGTTCTTCTTAAGTAGTTTTCAATATTATTTTATGTCCAGAAATAAAATAATGTTCAGCATTTTGTAATGAATATGATTTACAGCATACTAATAGTCTTAAGAAATAAAAATATTTACCATTACGGGGTTTTAAAATAAATGGTATTACATTCTTTCTCGCTGTATGGTCCAAAAGGGTTAAACGGGAAAGCAATAATCCTCCAAATTGTTTAGCAACAGTTTCTTCGTCATAATATTTTAGGCATTTTAAAATATCAGAAAAAAAATGCATTTTCTCATCACTTCCCTTCAATGGTAAATTACTCAAGAATTTGTATACTGATATAAATTCGTGGTTGAAAAAGTTGTGTTGCAGTATTTCTATCAGATTTGGTCTCTTCTTGCAATCAGAATTTTGCAGGAATTCTCTACAATACTCCTTAAATTCATTTAGATGTGAGACTTCATCTGTGGAAAGAAATAAGTTTGGGCTTTGACCTTTAAATTTTCATATGTACTGGTGTAACCACTCTTAAAATACTGCATATAAACAAAGAGACAAAACATTCTTAAAGCAAGTGAGGACAAGCCTGCAATAATAAGAGTTGTATTTTTATATGGTCAAAAAAGACCCTTGATTAGAATGTTTTATTAAAATATATATATACATACCATTATTACATCCCTTAAATACATCTTCCACCAACACTGCAAAGGCGTACTGGTCAACTTTAGTTGTTACTTGGTTAGAATCTTCATTTGGATCCACAGCTTTATCATACCTTAAATAGTGAACATAACATTTTTGTTCTAATACAAGCCCCGATGCAAAATAGTTCGTCTAGTATCGAAAGTATTGCAAAGCGTAAAATATAGAAAGTAAATATTGGTAAAATAATTAAGAACGTTTAATAAAAAGTAAACCACAATTTGAGAAATATTTTTAAAGTTTATTTTAACATAACTGAAATTATTTCATGACTTTACATAACATAAAAAAAAATTCCACCATAGGGTTTCGATCGGCGACAAGTCCGGGCTGTTAGATGGCCATTCGATTGTAGGGATGCTTTTCGCCAGTAGCCACGTCTTTGTTGTCCTTGCAGTATGGCAGGAAGCAACCTCCTCTTGAAAAATGAAAGAATCTTGATGCTAAAGTGACGGAATACAGGGCAGTAAATTCTCTTCCAAAATGTTTTGATACCCTGCAGCATTGATAGAACCATCCACAAACTGCATACCACCAACCATATCATAAGAGACGCCGGAAACTTCACTTTGTGTTTGAGACAATCAGCATGAAATGCCTCATTTTTGTTCCGAATCATTTTTTTCTTTTCATCGCCGACTGTCACTTCAAATTTGGACTCGTCACTCCAAATGATAGTACGCCACTGATCGGAAGTCCAATTTAAATGATCACGAGCAAACTTCAACCTCTTTGTCTTTTGTATAGCAGTCAACAGCGGTTTCTCCTTTATTATTATAGCTTTATTTATTCCAAACTCATTAAGGTACAAAAAAGAAGTAAGAATATTTTATATGTTAGTAATATGTAGTAATCTTAGTCTATGTTAGAATGTGTAACATTAGTATATTCAAAGTTTGGATCCCATCTGGGTAAAAGCCTCCTCCATTTTTTTCCATTTTATTCTATTTGTAGCTGTAGTAATCCAGTTTCCGCCTGCTACTTTGACTATGTCATCCACCCACCTTTTTTTGGGTCGACCTATGTTTCTCTTACCAAGTGGACCAGTCCATTTTGTAGTTTGTACAGTCCATCTTTTGTCGATGTATCGAGAGATATGTCCTGCCCATTGCCATTTCAGTCTTAAGGCGTGCCTAAGAGCATCAGTTAATTTAGTTTGTTGGCGAATGTCTTTGTTCTTTATCTTTTGTATCTTCTTAATTTTCAGTATGCTCCTTTCCATAGCATGTTGTGTCGTAAGCAATCTGTTTCTCACTTTGTTAGTGAATACCCATGTTTGGCTTGCATATGTTAGACAAGGTAAAATACATGTGTCCATTACTGTTCCCTTTACTTTTAAGTTATAGGTTCCTTTGAGTATTTCTTTATGAGACCAGAAACTTTTCCATGAGTTTTTGATTCTTCGGTCTACCTCATCGTCGTTGCTGTTTGGTTCAAATGATATCAATTTGCCTAGATAAATGTAGTCCTTAACATATTTAATGCAGACTCCGTCTATTTGAATTGGCTTCCTACTGCTATTTGTTATTATTTTTGTTTTTGTAGCGTTCATGTACAGCCCTACTTTTTTGCTTTCCTTGTTCAGGTTTTGCATCATTTGTTCCAGTTCCTGTGCTGATTTAGCAAAAACTATGTCATCTGCAAACCTTAAGTGACTCAAATGTTTTTCATGAATCCAAATTCCCTTTTTACTCCAGTCTAATTTTTGGAATACAGTTTCTAAGACTGCTATAAACAATTTGGGTGACAGTGGATCTCCTTGTCTTACGCCTGTGTTGATGTTTATATTTTCTCCTGTTTTTTCGAGTTTTACTCTGCTTGTGTTCCTAGAGTAAATATCTTTAATTATGTTAATGTAGCTTGTGTCTATGTCACAAGCCTGTAAAGCTTTCCATATAGAGCTGTGGGTGATGGTGTCAAATGCTTTTTGGTAATCTACAAACCCAATATAGAGAGGTTGATTAAATTCTTTGAATTTTTCTAGGAGTTGTTCAATGGTATGTATCTGGTCTATTGTGGAAAAGCTAGAGCGGAAGCCTGCCTGTTCTATTGATTGTCTCTGATCTATTTTTTTCTGTTATTCTACTTAGTAACAATGCTGAAAATAGTTTATATAGGGCGGACAGTAAGCTGATAGGCCTATAATTACCAATATCCTTAGGATCTCCCTTCTTATAGATTAATATAATTTCAGATTGGCACCATTGCTGTGGAGCTTTTCCTGATTTGAGAACCATGTTATTTAGATTTTTTTTAAATGGTGCTATTAGGAATGCTCCTTGTTTCAAGGCTTCATTGCTGATGTTATCTGATCCTGGGCTCTTGTCATTTTTCAATTTCTTTATGTGTTTTAGAATTTCAGATTCTGTCACTTCATTTATTTCAGTTCTTGTTCTTTGTTGAGCGTATATAATTTCATGTACATATATTATTTTCTTCGGTTGGCTTTGAATATAGTTCTGAATAGAATGCTGTGGCACATTTAATTAAATCTTGTCTAGTCTTTGTTTTGCCCTGGTTAACAGCTAGATTTTGTATCCAGTTTTTATGTGTTTTTAATTCTTTATAAGCTCTTTTTGTACTTCTATAGGTTGTTAGGTTTCTCTCAATTACTTTTCTTCTATGGGTGTTGTAGTCTTCTCGAATTGCTTTATTGGTCTTTTTGTAAACTTCTTTTAGCTCTTGTTTCATTTCTTTGGTTTTGTTCTGTGTTGCTGTTAGTTTCGTGCGTTTGTTTATTAGTTCTAATGTAGTATTTTGAAATATTTTATGTTCATTATTTTTGTGTTTTCCTTTTATTCTGAGGCTAGATAGTATTGTCTGTTCTAATACGTCGTAGTACTTTTGGACATCTTTCAGACTGTTTAGATATTCACTTGTATTTGACAGTTTCTTTTCTAGGGTTTTTATATATTTGTCTATCTCGCATTCGGATTTTAGCGTTGTTGTTAAAGGTTTAAAAGTTTTTCTGCTCAATTTCGGTTTTTCTATTATCAAGGAGGCTCGAACAAGTCTATGGTCTGATGAGAAGTTTAGATTATTCACAATTTCCAGGTTGATAATATTTCTCGGTTTATTGCTCATAATAAAATCTATCTCATTTTTGGTTTTGCCATCTGGTGAACACCATGTCCATTTTCGATTTTCTTTTTTTTTTAAAGTAAGTATTCATTATTGATAGTTTGTTTTCGTAAGCATATTGTAATAGTCTTCCCCGACACCTATCCATATCCCAATATCAAGTGTCATCTTTTGTCCAATGCATTAAAATCACCTAGCACTAGCACATTTCACTCAAGGGCATGGCCCTGCTAGGTATCATAGAATCTTCGCCGGATTGCGCTGTGGGAGCATATACTTGTATGAGTGATATAGCTTCTTTTTTGAGTTGTAATTGAAGTAGAGCTACTCTTTCGGATAATCCGGAAAAGTTAACTATCGAGTCTCGTAGTTCTTTCTTTATTAAGAAGCCTACTCCATTGAGGCCTTTTGTTTCGCCTTTAAAGCAGAAGATATATTTATCGTGTTCTTCTATCTCGCATCCAATTTTTCTTACTTCTGCTAAACCTAAAATATCGTAGTTTACTTTTAAAAGGGCTTGTGTCAGTTCCAGAAGGCGTGTAGGTGATGCTAGTGATCTTACGTTATAAGTACAGATCTTTAAAATGTTGCAGTTTTGGTTATCTCTACTATGTAGGCGGTTGGATTCATCGATTTTATCTTCATTTGGAGGGTTTCTCCTTAGTGGTTTAAAATCCGTAACCTATTCTTTTTAGGACTCTTTTGCAAGTATCAACTGAGACGTCTTTGCGAATCACATCCTTCCATTGCACCGTGAGTTCTCCAGCTCGAGCACAACAATTACTTTTGATAATTTTCTTCAGGATTATGTTTTCTACCGCACTAGTGATGCATGGTCGACCAGTTTTCTTCAAACCAGAAGTCATTCTATTCTTTTTATAAAGCTGAATGATAGATTGGGCTGTAGACCTGGGAAATATCAAGTCTTTAGATATTTGGTAATTTGATTTGCCAGCATCAACCCCACAAACTATTCCCTTTTGAAGCACTTCACACACAGGTTTGCCACGACCCATTGTTATTTGAAAACAAATGAAAAAAGCTGAAATAGGCAGAATTTATACTGTCTTACTTGACAAATGACACAGTTACTTTAACAAATTCAAATTATGCAAAATAATGGTACAAAGAAGGAATAATTTTATTTAACTCACCAATAGAAGAACTCTTTTGCATCTATTAACTATTAGACAAACTATTTTGCTTATAACTTCTTCGAATTTAAAACAGGATATATTGTATAAATTTAAAAAGCTAAAATAGTTTATTGGTTCATAATTAAAAAATGGCATAAGTAATGCGACATGTGATTGTAGAACAGCTTAATATTTTATATAGATATACAAAAATTATGAAGTTAAAAAGAATATCAGAGAAAATTCACACTAGACAAACTATTTTGCATCGGGGCTTGTACAAGACTATCATATAAAGTTGTCATCATCACTAAACCATTTATTATTTAATCAAAAAAGAACCACTCAACTGAAGTCAAATACATACTTCTTTACTATGAGATACCCTACTAAATCTTTACACTACTAATCCTAAAATAGAAATTCAAATAACCTATATTTTTATTGTGTATTAACCTTTTATGGTGTAACATAGTTTTGAATGCACCTTGCACCTAGCACCTTTAACTTTAGGATTTACCTGTGAATTCTAGCTTGTTTAAGATATGCTGGGGTTAATTCAGAAAAATTGCATAAATATTGCAGACCACCCAGTTTCCATTGTCCATCACCAGATAAATATATTGAACATATACTTATATTATTGTGAGACACACCACCCTAAAATAAATATTGTGCTTAATAAGTTTATTTTTTATATTAACAATAAATAAAAATGTATTAAATTAAATTAGTCACTTTTACGAGGTTACTGCTATTGAAGCATATTTAGATTGCATTAAGATATTAAGACATTTAAATATTACTTACTTGCTCATGTAAAAAAACTAATGCCTGTAGAATATTATTAATTCCAATACATTTTTGTAGAGGAGTTTGTGATGATAATACATGTGCTAAAGGTTGCACAAATTCAGTTGCTAAATGGAATGTAGATCTTTGTTGCCAAGCTGATAAATATCTAATAATAAATGGATGCCTATATTTAAGAATATTCTAAAAATAATTGTAAAATTAATAAATTTGAAACATTACAAGTAACACAAATATGCCAGATATAACTATCAATTTAGTCTTACATTGCAAAACTTTTCTAGTGGTGATGAAACTGTCCATAATGGTCCCATTATTGTTTCTCCTTTGAAAACAGACACAGATCCATCACCGTTTAAACCAAAATATCGGCAGCCATCTCTAATTGTAGCTTTATAGTGACACCAAAAATCTGTGGTCTCCGTCGGTTTTTCGTCAATTTCTAAGCCTTTTAACTGAGAAGCATCATTTCCCATGGTGACAAATTACCAATTTTATTTCTTTGAGATTAGCACTTCACGCTAGATTAACATGTCACATTTAGCTTAAATTTAAACCCAACCAGAAGCGAAATATATTAATAATATAAATTACATCGATACAATAATAACTAATATATATTATAAACAAGATATTAAATTGATTGAAAATTGAAATTCACAAATCACAGATAACTATTAATTATTAGTAAGAACTAAGACCAGGACCGCGAGGACGCAAAGTTGCCAACTCAATTTTGAAAATTGCTGTGGTTTCCCAAAAGTAGTGTAGATTTATTGAATTTGAAATTAATAGTATTACATAATGAAATAAGAGAAAACCTTTAAAGAATATAAGGTTTTAATAAGCTAAATCTTAATATATATAAATTACGTGTCACGTTGTTTGACCGCTATGGACTCCTAAACTACTTAACCGATTTCAATCAAATTTGCACACCGTGTACAGTGTGATCTAACTTAAAAGATAGGATAGCTTACATCTCAATTTATACCCGCAATATTATTTTATTGCAAATATTTGTTTATTATATGATGCAATTCTAACAGATGGTGCTGTGTTAAAAGTACCAACGTTTCACATAAGTTCTACTACCGTTTCCCTTGAATAGTTTACTACTATGTAATATAACAAAAACCTTAGCCACAGCAACGCTTGGCCGGTCTGCTAGTTAACAGTAAAATATTTTGGTTACATTTGATACATTGACAAAAAACACTAACAAAACAGATGGACAATGACATCAGTTTATGGTTGATAGTTTCATGTAAGAAGTTTACATCATTCTCCCGCACTATTTTAAAATATAATCTTTTAATAATGCTGGTGTTTTACGGACGCGGACAGATCTACGAAGTGTTGGCTCAGCTCTCTGCTATTATCAAGTACCACAGGTCCCGTCTCATTAGATGAAGGAATCTCCAAGTTTTGGTCTTCTGTTTCCGTACGTGGTTCTGCGACGTTATGATAGTCATTATGTATTCGCAGATCTACCCCTTCTGAACCCAATGGTCCTAAATGACGATTTCACACCGTTGTTTCTCGGCCATCTGGGAACCGAATGTATGAATAATCAGGATTGCTGTGTATCAATTTAACCTCTTCTACTAATGGCTGATATTTATTTGTACGATTAAATTTCTTCATCAAGACTTGTTCAGAACTTGTAAGCCACGATGGAACAGAAGTGCCGTTAGTAGATCTTCGTGGGTGTCTAAACATTCTTTCATGTGGAGTGCAATTTATGGCTGTACAAAGTAATGATCGAATTGAATGTAAGGCTTGTGGCAATACTTGCTCCCAATTTTCTACCGAAAGATTCTTCGTCTTCAGCGCCAAAGAATCGTTTTCCATCTTTAGTAGAATTCAATATTTATACTCGACCGTTACCTTGAGGGTTACATGTAAAAATTCTTGTACTTCGGCAGAAAAAAATGCTGTTCCGCGATCTGAATGTAAGAAGGCATGCCGAATATCATAAACAAGTTGTTGAGGTGTTTAATCACTGTTTTCGAGCTCACATCTGAGCATGAGAAAGCAAACGGGAAACGTAAAAATTCGTCAATCACGGTAAGTATGAATTTGTTATTATTGTTTGTTGGAACTGGTCCTTTAAAATCTATGCTAAGGCGCTCAAAAGCAGCCGTCGCTTTAACAAGTTTCCTCTGGTCATCAAAAGTATTTCGAAAGAATCTAGGTTTTACTTCAGAGCAGGTTCGACAAGATTTTGTCATTGTTCTGACTTCTTCAATGGAATAGGGAAGGTTTTTAGAGCGAACCCAGAACATGTGAACACAAACATTCTCGTTACCCCTCGATGACAAAAGCCTCATGCAGCGAGAAAAGTTTTGTAGTACGTGTTTCTTCAGTGGCACCAACTCCGGATAGTGCATCAGCAGCATAGTTCTCTTTCCTCGGTCTGTACATAATATCGTGTTTGAAAACAGCAAGTTCCAGTCGCCATCTTTTAATCTTTTCATTCTTTATCTTACTTGAATGTTTCATATTAAACATAAAAGAAACCGAGCGTTGGTCAGTTACTAACTTAAAGTGTCTACCAATAAAGAAATGTCTCATTTCTTCAATGATTCAACAATGGCGTACGCTTTTTTTTCAATTGTGGAATGGTTATACAATATAATATCGGCAATACAATTACGCAAAAGCGGTAGTGTGTGTAGAACTTACAACAACTCTTAGTACTAAATCGTCGTCCAGAAAAAATAATACCTGAGATGATAATTTGTAAAAATACTTTTTTAATAATAAAAATAAATTTTATACTCTTGTTAGGTACATGATGATGATGATATTAATTTATCCCTAATGGGAAAGGCAAAAGAATAGTCCATACATCCAGATCTTGTTCTTGGTAATAATTGGAGATTTTTTTTAGTTTAAAGGCCGAAGCCACGTCTTCAATGTTCTTGATCGTCTTGTTAGCATACATTTAACATATTATTTACTAAAAGTAAAAAAAAAAATTAGAAAATGTCAATTGTCAAATGATATCACGAATTACGAAATACTGATTTCCGAATAAAATAAACGTGATATTATCCATGGAAAATGGCTTCACTTTTAATTAAAAAGGCATATTTGCTTAAACCAAATGCCTTTAAAAATACTGTTGCTATAATAAGCAATGCAACACGAAACCGTAATTTTTGTTTCATAATTTATTTCAGTCTGTTATAAATGTTTTTGTTACGTCATTGCGATTATTTTCAGATTGGAACTACCAATACAAACCTGGTCAATATCCTAAGACACCAGAGGAAAGGGAAGCAGCAGCAAAGAAGTATGGTTTAACAATAGAGGAATATCAACCATACCCAGAAGACATGGGATATGGCGATTATCCCAAACTTCCAGATATTGGTGCAGACTCGAAAGATCCACATTATCCCTATGATAACCCTGAGCTAAAAAGAAACTTCAATGAGCCTGTATGTATTTTTCTTTTATATGTTATCAGAGATTAAATCTTTGGGCTTAGAATATATTGGTCTGAACATCCAATGGCTTGAATCGATTTAGGTGTACCAATTTTTTTCACTCTTAGGTCAGTATAAATAATAGTTAGTGACTTCTTTGTTAACCAATTATTCTTGTTTTCAAGCTGCTGTAAACCTTTTTCTGAATATTGCATTACAATTCTTTATCTGTATATTGTTGTATGGGTGTTCTTTGAAATTAATAAAAAAACATTTTCTCTTAAATTCATAATGTAGTGCAGTAGTATATGTTTTACTATAATACTTTACCTTTCCTTTTCAGTTTCATGCAATTGCAGAGCTAATAGGAGAGGATCGCTATGACATTAGCATGAAACCAAGAATCCCAGTCTGGCAACAATGGAGTTGGTTCTTTGGAGTTATTGGAGGTTTCTTTGGTATATTCTATTACTTAGAAGATTACAAATTTGGTAGACCAGTAACTGCCAAACAGTACCCTCAAGATGGACCCCACTATTTATTCAATGCAAACTGATTTTCAATTGAATATAGCTAATTTAAAACTTAAATTTAATTGCATTATTAGTACCCAAAATAAATAGTTTAAAAATTTATACTTGTTTCTGTGATTTTAATTTGTGCCTAATTTATAGAAATAGTTTCAAATATAAATATTATTTCATTAATGTTTAAAGATACATACATAATTTACATTGGTGGAAAAAAGGATATTCTTTTAAAGTTAACAACACAAATTATTTTTAATTATAGTAATTTTATTGATCATATTTACTTATATATACTAGTAAAATATTCATCTTCCAAATCATACAAATCAGCAGCTATGTCATCTTTAAGGGACATTAGTTTTTGATCACATTCTTGCTGTTTAGTTCTGAATAACTTTGAGTTTTGTGTAATTGCTTCATTTACAGATGGAAAATCATTAAGAATTAAATACTGTTTAATATCTGATACTAGTTTCATTAGGGATTCTCCAGCTCGAACTGAAATAAATATTTCAAGTAAAAACAAGGCTGTAAAAATATCTCGGCTTTAACTGGCCAAAGGTCACATTTTAAGAAATTATTTACCAGTAAATTGTGTAAAAGTAAAAGAATATCTTACCAATATTGGCAGCTCTGACTTGCATTTCAAATGTGTCTTGTTCGATCTGGGTCATTCTATTAAGCTGAGATTCATTATCACCTTTAGCTAACTTTATGATTTCTGTAAAAGTATAGAAACATTACACCACAATACAACACATTATGTTCGTAAATTTTAAGAAAATACCACTTTATCGCACAGTACCTTCAAAGTTTTCTAGCATACTTTTAACGTCTTCTTTTAATCGAGTTGTATATGATTTAAGTAATGCTTCTTTATTTTGAGGTAAATTACGATGCATTTTGTTTTGACGAAAATGTTTGGTAGTAGATAATATTTGATTATATTGTCGATCTCTCAAAATAAACAAAGTACAAACATTAAAATTAATATTTAATAACAAAAATTTTATGACGACGATTTTACTGAACCAACAACATCTTTACTAGATAACAATAATCAATTGTAAATGTTTAATGTATTGTAAAATTTCATTTTTTTTTTATTAGCACCACAGTCCATAGCTATAGTGCAGCTAAATCACGGGTAAATACAACACAGTGAAAACCATAGACCATCACCCTTAGCCAAACCAAAGTTTTTAATCTGTGACCATACCCTGGGTACCCATAGTCATAAGTCGGTTTTCGAAAATTTGTTGAAGTATCATTATGAACAGCTAGAGAGAGGGGGTTTCCTTGTCTCACGCCTCTACCGTATTTAATGTACATATAATTCTTTTTGACGTTCTTAAGTGTACATTGTGTTACCTATATGAATAAATGATTTTTGACTTTGACTTTGTAGGCTCTTTTCGTGCTTCTGTACGTGTTTATATTTGTGGTTCCGTAAAAGTGGAAAATGAAATAAAAAATTAATCGAGCGCGTCAGATTTTCTAAAGGGGTGTTAAGTGAACCTAAAAAAAAGCTGTCATCTAATAATCTGACAATTTGGATGTGACGCAAAACTCGCGTATGAATGTGAAAAAAAAAATCGAAATTTTGAAATACTCAAGCGCGGCAGATTAATATGGTAGGGGAGCCCAAGAGGGGATTTCGGGATTTACTAAAGCGCGGCAGATTAATATACAGGGGGATAGCTTGTACTCGGTTAAGTACCTCCACAAAACATGAGGTCCATATATAAGGCCGCCTGTGAAGGAGACAGGATCAGATTAGTAAAAAAAAAATTGACCATCAGAAATTCCCGAGCGCATCAGATTAAGGTAGGGTGAGTTAATTACATCCTAAAAAGTGTATATTCCACTAATCTGACAATTTGAGAGTGACGGAAAAAAAGGGGAGGGCAACAAAGTTGTAAAAAAAAAAACGTCATCTCGACATTCTCGAGCGTAGCTAATTTTTTTTTTATTTTGAAGGAAATAATTCAAGAATAATGAAAAATATATAATCTGACGATTTCCGCAAGCCGAAATAACAAAAATTCGTCGATAAAGTTAAATGCGTGCAGCTGCGTGATGCCTACATTTCCTTAAACCGATCGGAATCTACTAAACGGCGTTCTAAATATTTCCCTCAAAATTACATTTCCTGTGAATTTGAACCGATTCGAAACGATAGATTTTGAGAAATTTTGAAAAATCTTAAAAAATTAAGAAATATTTTTTTTTAAAGTGGTTTCTTTATCGATCAACTTCAAAAACTAATCCGCCTTTGAGCTTGAAAAACCACGTTGATCGCCACTAAGCTGGTCAAAAGCGGTTGATTCGTTCGAGAGATATCGTGAACGAAAGAAACCCGAAAAAGTGTTTATTCGGGATTACTCCGAAATTTGTGGTTCGATCAATTAAAATTGCAAAATTACTTATGAGGATGATAAAACTGCGTCGAATGCCGCCAACCGCGTGAAAATTGCTTGATCCATTCAAATGTTATTGCGGTTTGAAAATTCCAAAAATAGTGTTCTATGAAACTTCTATCAGACTTTCGAGCTGGGAGAGCTCAAATGCATAGAAATTTATTTCTTTGAACTCAGCGAGCTCAAAATATCAATTTTAAGCGCCCAGGAATGGAATTAGCGGGAAGTTGCAGGGATGGCCCTTTAGGTGAACCGTTTTTCTAAATTTTTTTTGTCAGATCAGGCGAATCCCTCTAGATAATCGTCAGATTATGAGACAGTACGTTTAGAACATAAAGATGAACCACATATATCTTAATCTGACGCGCTTGAGTATTTCAAAATTGCGATTTTTTTTTGCAAATTATGAAAATGGCTGTGGGTTTGCGTCCCATCGAAATCGTCAGATTAGTGAATGAGAGCTTTTTTTGGTGCACTTAACACTCCCTTAGAAAATCTGACGCGCTCGATAAAATTATTTTTTTTTTCATTTTCAACCCTTAAATACAACCACCCGCATCATGCAAACGATCAGATTAACATACGTACATTATTAAAAATACGTAGGGCATAGATGCTATCAATATCTGACGCGCTCGAGGATGTCCATGCAACAGTTTTTTTTTTACATATTTAACTATCTATAGCCGCTTCCCCCACCGATGAAAAGGAATTTATCATATAACATTTTTTTCTTCTTATTATCTAAGCTTTGCATCCCAATAGGTCTCTACGACGCTCGAGTAAATCCCCATTTAGCATCGTGGGCTCCCCTACCAATATATATTCTTATAAAACAATCTCCACAGAGCAAGTCAGACCGAGTGAGGGGTAATAGAGAGGAGTGAAACTGGGAACACCGGAAATGTGGCGATTGGCGCGCGGACGTGACAGACGCGGGAGTTTTTTGTTATTTATGGTGGCGTTGTGTAAAAGATTGTCTTCTGGTTGCGTATAATTTTCATTGTGGTATTTTAGTTAATTAAAAATTGTTTTGTAAGGAATAAAACTTCCTAGGTTGAGTGTTTTGTTACTTTTATTATTTATCGTTTGTGATTTCCAAGATCAGAAGTGGGATCACCACGCGTTTAGACCGTTTGTTATCTAAATTTAGTACTTATTAGTGTTCAGTATTGGAGGAACCTCATCTCGGCCGTAAGTTTTATTTCTTATAAAAGCAAAATGTCTGGTCTTTCGTCTCGACTCGAGGGACAAAGGCATAGTCGCGAAAAACGGCGTTCTAGTTGTCGCGAAGCACGTCGCGATAGCGTAGATTCCCGTTATACGCCGCCTGGTCGAAGTCTCTATAGTAGATCATCAAACCGCCGGAATCGGTCTTCCAGGCGTCGTGATGTATCGCACGACCCTCATAGCTCTCGTAAACGCCGCGATAGTTCACGCTATGTAGCTTTTGATAGGATTCTTAGTAGATTAGAAGTGATCGAAGCTAGACTACCTGTATCCGTAGATAGCGTGAGTCCTTCGCGTCCTGTGAACGGGAGTCATTTAGTTTCTACTCCATTGGCTGTACAGAGTTCTGCTAGTAAGCCAGGCTCAGGCATGGCTAAAGAGGTTATTGAGGGTAGTATTCCACACACACTGGATATGAAAACCAGTGAAGCAAAGGAGGAGGGGAGCAGTATTGTTGAAGCATTGACTGCATTGTTCAAAGCAAAGTCTCACAACTTTTATATATCGCCTTTTGATCCAAATGTACACGACTTTGATGTTTGGTGCAACGAGGTTGACCGTGCCCGGCTTCTAAATAATTGGGATGATCACGAATGTTTAGGACGGATAGGTAGTTGTTTGAAAGGAGATGCGAAGTTGTGGTTAAACGATTGGGTGACAAATGATCGATCGTGGAGTAATTTTAAACTAGAATTTAGATCGTTATGTCCACGTAATGTTGACATGGCTTCTGTATTATTTGAGGTAATGAGTACAAACTCTAATAAGTTTTCTACTTATGCGGAATACGCGCGTAAATCTTTGCTACGTCTGAATATCGTTAAAGGTTTATCCGATGAGCTGAAAACCGCTATTGTTGTTCGAGGCATTAGCGATCCCCAAATAAAAGCCGCGGCCACAAATGCTAAATTACACTCAAAAGGTTTGATTGAATTTTTATCTGTTTATATAAAACCTAAATACGATTACCGCCAATCTAACAATACCGTTCGTTCTTTTAGTAGTTCAGGTCCGTCTTACACGCGAAAACGCGAGGCGTCTAGGTTTGATAATAACAAAATTACTTGCCACACCTGTGGAAAATTAGGTCATAAGAAATGGCATTGTCCTAAAAAACTTAGAGCTGATCCTACGACTTCTACTCAGAGTGACAGTTTCACAAAACCATCTCCAATTGCATTAAGCGACAATCAGAATAGGTCAGTTAAATATTGCACATTTTGTAAGCGTAATGGACATTTGATAGATTCATGTTTTCAAAAACAGCGTTCTAACAGTGGTGATAAAAAAATCAATGAAGTAAATTTTTGCTTAGACTTGACCCCAAACAAAGTAACGTAATATCAGCAGTACTTCAAAAAGTACCAGTCGATGTTTTGATCGATAGTGGGTCGGATATTTCTTTGATTTCAGAGTCAGTACTGAGATATTTTAATTTGAATAGAGTGCCAACTTATCGCTTGATGCGTGGAATTGGAAGTCAAGAAATTGAGTCGACTTCTCTAATTACGACGGTAATAGAATTTCCTGAAGTGTCATTAGAAATAGATTTATTTGTTGTTCCTTCTCAGTGCATAAATGCACCCATTTTGATTGGTACCGACGTACTGAACCGAAAGGGTTTGATATACATTCGAAGTAATGGAGAACAGCGGCTTGTGAGGTCTGGTATTGGACCGATTGTGCAGCATGTGGTCGTGGTGGACGATGGGAGTGTCAGCACCCCATTAATTGGTGCAGATAGGGATAGATTACTAACGATAATTCACGAATTTTCGGATTTATTTATCTCTGGCACTGCGGCCTCCACCGTGAACACAGGCAGCATGGAAATTCGATTAACTTCGAATACCCCGATAAGTCATCGTCCTTACAAACTTTCGATAGATGAAAAGAATAGAGGTCGTGACATTGTCAGCGATTTGCTCAGTAAGGGTATACTTCGGGAGTCTCAGTCTGACTATGCTAGTCCTATTATTTTGGTCAAAAAGAAAGACGGCAGTGATAGAATGTGCGTCGATTATCGGGCGCTCAATTCTATCACTGTCAAGGAGAAATTTCCCTTGCCGCTAATCGATGACCATGTTGACAAGCTTGGCAGCTATAAAATCTTCACCAGTCTTGATATGGCTACTGGATTTCACCAGGTGCCAATGAGGGACGATGACTCAATCAGCAAGACTGCCTTCGTGACACCTGAAGGACATTATGAATATTTGAAAATGCCCTACGGGTTGGCCAATGCACCAATTGTTTATCAGAGAATCATTTCCAAAACTTTAAAAACATTAATAGATGCTGGCAAAGCCCTTACGTATATAGACGACGTTTTATTACTGTCAAATTCAGTAGAGGAAGGCCTGGACACGTTGAAAGAAGTTTTACATACATTAAAAACAGCGGGATTTTCTATTAATTTAAAAAAATGTACCTTTTTAGACTCAGAAATTGAATACTTGGGGCGATTGATCGGTCATGGTCAGGTTAGGCCGAGTCTGGGGAAGGTCGATGCACTTATTAGATCTCCAAAACCCACAAATGTCAAGGAAGTTCGCCAGTTTCTAGGTTTAGCGGGATATTTCCGTCGCTACATATCGGGTTATGCTTCTAAGACGGCATGTATAGCAAAGTTGTTAAGAAAAGGGTTACCATTTTTGTGGGGTGCTGAGCAGGATACTGCTCGCGATTATATAATTCACTGTTTGACAAATGAACCGGTTTTAGCGATATTCAATCCCCGGCTGCCTACGGAACTTCACACCGATGCAAGTGCTATTGGTCTTGGTGCTATTTTGTTACAGGAACATGCCGGTAGGAGAAAGAGGGTTGTCGGTTATTTTAGTAAGTCCACCCAGGGCGCAGAGTCACGGTACCACAGCTATGAGCTGGAGACCTTAGCTGTCGTACGTGCGCTCCAGCACTTCCGCCACTATTTGATTGGCATAGCCTTTAAAATAGTGACTGATTGCAATTCATTAAAATTGACGGAGCATAAAAAAGATCTGTTGCCTCGAGTTGCGCGCTGGTGGGTATATTTACAAGATTTAAATTTTACTTTAGATTATCGTAAAGGTGTTTTAATGCAACATGCAGATTTTCTGAGCCGTAATCCTCCTCTTTCCACTGCCAATGTGTCTCATATTCGGAATCCAAGCAGCTGGGCGAAGATCGCTCAAACCGCTGATGTGGAGACACAAGAGTTAATTTCTAGATTAAAAGACGGGCAGCTTGACGATACTAGGTATGTGATAAAAAATGATTTGTTGTACTACAAATTTACACCAACTGGGGAAGACCCGCGACTCTTGTGTTACATCCCTAAGGGTCACAGACTCAGCTTGTTGAGGGTGTTCCACGATGAACATGATCATATTGGGACGGACAGAACAACTGACTTAATATTAAGACACTTTTGGTTTCCTAGTTTGCGACAGTTTGTAAAAAAGTACATAAGTTATTGTCTAGTATGTTTAGCACATAAAAAGTTCCCAGGGCTCCGTCACAACCGATTCAATCCTGGACAAAGCCAGATATCCCTTTTTCTATTATACACACCGATGTCCTAGGGCCGCTCCAAGAGTCAAACGGTTTCAAATACGTTTTGATTATAGTGGATGCATTTTCCAAGTATTGTTTGCTCTACTCTCTGTACAGACAAAACACTGACGAGCTAAAACGAGTTTTTTCAAATGCGGTGTCATTATTTGGTACGCCGTCTACAATAGTATGTGATCGCGCTAGAATGTTCGAAAGCACTACATTCCAAAATTGGGTCAGTGATTTGGGATGCTCGATACATTTTATCACGCCTGGTATGCACCGTGAAAATGGGCAAGCGGAGCGGTACTGCAGGACAGTTCTCAACATGCTACGTGTTGAAGTAGGCAACAAAGGTTCCCAATGGTCCGATGTGCTGTGGAGGATGCAGCTCACTTTGAATATCTCCAAGCAAAGTACCACGCAGACGTCACCACTACAGTTACTGGTCGGTATTGACGCAGTTACTCCAGTCATCAGATCGTTAGTGCGAGATGTGGCACTTACTAACGCTAATCCCAATCGGGAGGCTCTTTTAACTCTTCGCAGACAACGAGCTTCAGAACTCCTTGCAACCAATCAACAGCGCCAGGATGCCTACGTTAACGAGGGTCGACGGCAGCCACTCACTTTTGCTGTCGGAGACTTTGTGTTTGTGAGCAAGACTGCACAAATCACCGGCAAACTGGACTCCGGCATGCGCGGGCCTTACAAGGTTATTCGCGCGTTACCGTGCCACCGTTACGAGTTAGAGCTACTAGCTGGTTCCTATGGGAAAAAGACCCAAGCTGCAGCTGAAAATATGATGTTGTGGCAAGGCGAGTGGACGCCGGATGCGTGCTCAGTTTTTTTTTGAGACTGGTGAGTGATGTCAGTGGTGCTAATGTGTTTAGACCACATAGAGAACATGCAAAGGTATGGGTCTCTGTTTCAAATTTTTGTGGTGCTAATGTGTTTAGACCACGTAGAGAACATGCAAAGGTATGGGTCTCTGTTTCAAATTTTTGTGGTGCTAATGTGTTTAGGCCACATAGAGAACATGCAAAGGTATGGGTCTCTGTTTCAAATTTTTGTGGTGCTAATGTGTTTAGGCCACATAGAGAACATACAAAGGTATGGGTCTCTGTGACAATTTTTTTTTTCTGGTGCTAATGTGTTTAGGCCGCTTAGAGAACATGCAAAATGTATGGGACTCTGTTTTAACAAATTGTCGCTTATGAGAGCACTAGAAGCCGCTGTCGTTACGACAGTGTATTGCAAGATACTGAGTTTTATTTTTATTCGTGTTAAGTCTGAAGCTATCTAATTCTGTAATATTTGCTTTTTGATAGACCTTATCTGTGTGCGCTTGAGTGCACGCTTGCGCACATAGTACTGGTAATTGAGAAATAGAGATAAATGTCATTTTTCATCCCTCTAATCCAGGATATATGCTTCAGGCTATAACACTAAACTAGGTAAATTACTTACAAGTTCCTTCTATGTTTCAGAGACTGCATTAGACAATAATGAGCAGGTTGCAAGGGATGAAACAAATGAAGAGAGAAATGGCTCTGATGCTAGTGGTGCAAGTAATGCTGCGGTCGAGGACGCCGCACTGTCAGGAACGGCCGTCTTATAAAACAATCTCCACAGAGCAAGTCAGACCGAGTGAGGGGTAATAGAGAGGAGTGAAACTGGGAACACCGGAAATGTGGCGATTGGCGCGCGGACGTGACAGACGCGGGAGTTTTTTGTTATTTATGGTGGCGTTGTGTAAAAGATTGTCTTCTGGTTGCGTATAATTTTCATTGTGGTATTTTAGTTAATTAAAAATTGTTTTGTAAGGAATAAAACTTCCTAGGTTGAGTGTTTTGTTACTTTTATTATTTATCGTTTGTGATTTCCAAGAATATATATTATGGTTCATCTTTATATCCTAGACGTGATGCCTCATAATATGCCAATAATTAAAAAAAAATATTTTTTTAAATCATTGAACTTAATTGATTGATAATCTCTGGAAATAGCAAAAAGTGTATGTTGTTCAAGTAGATCTTGTGGTTATTATATAACAATTTAAAAAATGCTTTATATAAAAAAAATATTAACCAGAAGAACCGGTTGACTTCGACGATATTCTACAATATTTATACATTTTTCTAATGTATGTAATTATATATTTTTCGTCATCCTTGAATTAATTTCTTCAAAATAAAAAAAAAATCAGCCACGCTCGAGAATGTCGAGATGACGTTTGTTTTACAACTTTGCCTGAAGCCCTCGGGCACGCAAACTCCCGCCCGCGGTACAAATTAATGTTCCAATTTGTACCTCGGGTAGGAAAGGTAGGAAGTATCAGGCAGGGAGGATATCTGAGTCGCGGTAAGAGAGAGCAAGGCCGGCTTCGCAATCTCTAAGTGGTAGTAGACAGCGTGGATGTTGGAATTGTGCCCCCTAACATTTGTGAAATCTATTATATTTTTTTGTTACGTTAGTTCCCCAAACTCTTGGGACCGGGTTACCCAAAAAATCTAAAATTGAGTAAGTAGCATCGAATGCATGATTACTTATTAAATATTATACCATAAATGATTACTAATTGAGGTTTTTAAGCAACAAACACAAATTTTTGTTAAATTATGTATTGGTCTTGTTATGTTTCTTAAACTTATGATAGAAAAACAAAATAACAGTTCCTATAAGTGTCTACTTATTTCATTATTTGTAATTTAAAAAAAAGTATAGAATTTGATTAAAAAAATATTAAAAGCTAACACCATTAATAGACGAGGAAAGGCAGAAGCCACCATCAGCTCTTGCGGACACGAATTTTCGGTTACGGCACCCCGTATTAGTAGTTAGTGGTTCCATGGCGGTTTGGTAGCAATGCAAAGCAGCGAGTACAAAAAAACGATAAAAGCAAAGATTGAAAATATGTCACTAGCCACTGTTGGTCTGTATGGTGTCGTATCGACGAGTGGGTGCAGCTTGGGTGAAATGTTTTACAAAATAGTATACTTATAAGTAAAAAAGCAAATTAGTTGTTTTATTTATTTAGTGTTGTTGGAATAACGAGAAAACTCTTTCAGACGAATAGCATTTATATTAATAAAACCGGTACTATCCTCTGGTGAAAATCCTCCAGCAATATCCATAGACACAAGATCCTTATTGTAGAGACTAGTGGGACTTTTTCGCGCGGAAATAGTTACTGTAAGCAAAACAATCTCATTAATAAAATTTGTATATATCTCGTCAATAATGACGACATAGCATATAAATGGTCAGATAACTTCTTTGTGGCCTTTATGGTATAAAATTAAAAGCGAAAAAATAAGACGAAAACAAAAGTGATAGATGCCTTACAGTATGCCCTAAAACAGAAGTGGCAATGGGCGGGGTATATAGCAAGATACACAAATAAAAGGTGGACGTTAAAGATAACTGCATGGAAAAAACCAAGGGGAAGAAGGAGAAGAGGGCGCCCCAAAAAAAGGTGGATAGAAGAAATAGAAGCGGTAGCAGGAAGCGATAGGAGAAAGAAGCCATGGACAGAGTCAGTTGGTAAAATCTGGAGGAGGCCTTTACCCGTGAAGGGGTTCCGATCGACGTTACTGAAGATAGCTAGAATAAAGGATATATGTAAGATAACAAAATTAAAGTAATGTATAAACTGTAAAAAAATCTAAGCTGTATATAGTATAATTAAACGGGCTTTATCATAATTATTATAACTTCTTTGTGTTTCTACGTCGATATTTATTATACAGTCTTGTATAATTTTGAATGAAGTTAACAATTAATTATTCATATATCAGTGATCTTAAAGGGGGTTGGAAATATTAACTGAAATTATTTTATTAATATCGTGTAAAAAAGGGAGCATACCATTGCCTTTAAAAAGCTGCACAGTAACTTCACCGGTGACGGATTGTTGCGACAGCTCTAAGCATTTTCTTGTGTACGTGGCCTCGGGTGAGAACCAGAAACCATTGTATACGAAGTCGGACATTTTATCTTGAAGGATCTTCTTAAGTCTGTAAATTATATTTCCGTTTAATGACAAAGCATTAACAAGAAATGTATTGCGTAAAGTTAAAAAATCAATATGATTTCTTGTTTCATAACGTAGGCATGTTTGTTACAAAGTTTGGGTCCGTCCGTCACTAAATTTGTGCTTAGTAAATACCTAATTGAATTATATAAACCAACCAATTTTTGATCAACTAAAAAATAGAAACATTCTTTATTCAAATCTACATTAAAAACGACCGGCTTTTAGATTTTAGAATCATGTGTAATGAATCATAATATAAGTGGTCTAAGATCCCGCTATACAACGACCTTCACCGAGATGCTTATTTAATGAAACGTATTTTATATTTAATTTAATATATCAATAAATATAATCCATATGGGTTGTCTAGCAAATTTCAGTCCAGAGTATGTTTAATTAATAATTTAAAAAAAATATTTTTTTAAACATTTCACCGGTATGATTATTAGATAAATTCTATACCATTCGAAAGTATGAAGCCCATAGAATATGCAAACTTTATGCTGCCCATTCTTTTCCGGTCACAACTATCGGGTTGCCTGGTATAAACAGGTAATTCTGTACTAGCATTTTGCAACGGTCTGTTTATTGAATGAAATTAAAATGAAATTAAAGATTATTTTATTCTGAACACGGTGGTATAGGGTTGTCTGCGAAAAATCAGTCCAGAATTGCGGTTGTCGAATTTTAAAAAGTAAAATATTGCTCCAAGTGAATGTGTGTGACTGAGAGGTCCCAACCGACTATCCCATGCGATAGAAGAGGACACAGCATAGCAGCTGTTTAAAGTCCGCCCACTTAAAGAATGAGAGTGCGCATGCTATTTGGGCTTGGAAAAGAAAAGGATAGCGATGGACTCGTATAATTATGCATTATTTTGGAGTAGTTTATTATTTAAATAGAGAAATAGTTATTTAATTTTTTTTTAATCAATTAATTAATTATGTGTATATTTTTTATGTGACACTAAAGTATATATACATCTTTAGTAAAAAAGAAGGTTGTAGTGATTCATATATAATAATACCCCGATTAAAAAAATTTGATTGAAAAAAATTAAAAAAAATGACTACATGCAAATTATAAATCTATAAAATATGTAAACAGAGAAATTGAAATCAATTGAAACTATTGGAAAAAATTCAAAACCCATAAAAGTGAATTTTTTTAATCAGGGTACCTAATCTTGCTAATTTTATTTTTATTATAAGAAGACAAAATAAAAATGCGTGTACTTATGTACGCGCGTAAGAAGTTAAACTTCTTTGGCTTTCTTTATTTTTTAAAGTATCAAATAATTAATAACAAATATTTAACGTTAATAATATTTATTATTTAGTATATTATTCAATTATTAATTAATATTAATAATTATTTATTATTTTATTATATTATTCATTCAATTTAATAACTACGTATGTTTCATAACCTTTTAACTAAGTAATAGGTCTTTGTGAAAAAGCATTCCTAAATTTCTTTGAAATTAAAACTCCTTTATTTGTTTAAAAGGTAAATGTCATTATGGTCATTCAGAATTCTTAGCATAGCTGCTAACTTCACGCATATTCTATTTCTTTCTACTTGTAGATTGTCTTATTTCCATCTCGCTCGCGCACGCTCGGCGCCCATACTGATAATTTAGTGTCACGGTGCACGCGCATCGTAAAATTTCACTCTCATCAATTTTTCATAACGCGCCTAAAGAAGTATAACTTCAAAAACAACAATTAAAAAATTACTTCTATTTATTGTAAAAAATTAAAAATACAATTTTTTTTTTAATTATTCAGAATCCGGGTCATAGGACATAAAACTACGTTCTTCAACTTCTGAATCTTCTTCGTCATCACTTTCTGTTTCACTTTTTTCGACAATGTCTTCTATCTTTAAAGGTGTATGATCCCCAATGAATCCTACTGGTTTTAAATATTCATCTAAGAACCGTCCGCAGTTCTCAGGCTCAAATTTCACGCATATTGGATCCGTTGCAATAAGCCACATGGAATTTACGAAAATAAAATATAAAATATATATTTTAATATATACATATTATATTTTAATATAGAAATATAGAAGATCTATTAGCTAAGATAATTTTAAATCATAATAATTTTAGCAATATTTTACTTTTTAAAATTCGACAACCGCAATTCTGGACTGATTTTTCGCAGACAACCCTATACCACCGTGTTCAGAATAAAATAATCTTTAATTTCATTTAAATTTCATTCAATAAACAGACCGTTGCAAAATGCTAGTACAGAATTACCTGTTTATACCAGGCAACCCGATAGTTGTGACCGGAAAAGAATGGGCAGCATAAAGTTTGCATATTCTATGGGCTTCATACTTTCGATTGGTATAGAATTTATCTAATAATCATACCGGTGAAATGTTTAAAAAAATATTTTTTTTTAAATTATTAATTAAACATACTCTGGACTGAAATTTGCTAGACAACCCATATGGATTATATTTATTGACATATTAAATTTAATATAAAATATGTTTCATTAAATAAGCATCTCGGTGAAGGTCGTTGTATAGCGGGATCTTCTACTAAAGGCGGTTAGGTTGCTCAGAATATTTTTTGTTAAACCGATCTCTAATTACCTCAGAACTTCCCTATCCAAGGCATATGCTTCTAAATCAAGGTGAGCCAAGTGAAGGATGGTTCCAGCGGGAGTTTCATACAGTCCTCTACTCTAAAATTAAATTAGTCACATATAATAACGTCCCTCATAAGAATCGTAAATTCAGCCCAAAACTGGGTGAAAATGTACGTTTTTTTAAGAAATCATTTTCTTAAGTCTGTTTAAATGGAAAGTTGCTAGCAGAATAAAACGATCCCATTCATAAACGTGCTATAAGACCTAGGTTCTAAGGATCTTTTAGCACATTAATTTATTTGCAAAATTAAAGAAAAAGTGATAAAACATTCAATAGCTATTTGAGACTTATAGTTATGAAGAAGAAGTTAAATATCGAAAAGGCTAACAAAAGTTTCATACATACCTTAAGACCGAGAAATCTGTTTTCTACGATATCTATTCGACCAATGCCATGTTGCCCTCCCAGCTTGTTGAGAGTCTCAACTATCTTCAAAGGGTCTCTAATTATTAAGGACTTCTCGTGGCCGCTTGGAATGTTTAAGGTTACCGGTAAACCTACATATCGTATTACTTTGGATTATTATTGTTTAACAAAAATTCGTCAGAATTGACCACGATCCTAAGACTGAACTGAACCATTTAGTGAGAAATTATTGATGTATCGCGTAATTATACAATATTAAATTCGATGATATAATAATATAAAGAATAAAATAAATATCTGGAGCTGTTTTATTCTTTTACCTTTTTCAAAAGTTATATCAATGATGGTAGGATAATCATCTGCTTCTTGAAGATCCCGGGTCATTTTGTAAATTCCTTTCGGCGGGATTGCACCCGGATCCTCTAAAACTCCGGATTCATAGCTATGGTAAAATATTAATGAAATAAATTAAAAAAAAACGACGGGTTGCACTCGGAGTGCCGGCAGAAGTGAAAACTTGAATACTAACGTGGTGCATTTTTGATATTTTGGAATGGTTAGGAAATAATTTTGCACGAATTGCTTTAATTATCAGTATAAAAGTACTACCATTTATGTGGTAGAATACAATATTTATTTATTGCGCTATCGTACACAAACATGACAATTTACATTTTTACATTAAATACGCCGCGCCAGCTATCTACTCTCCATCCATATTACAAATTTTCGATCAGGTCACGTGTCCTGACGCGAGTTTAAAAATTTTTACCCATTCCAAAAAAAGTGTACAACACCGCTAAAGAAGTTTTTACTTCAAAATCTAAACAATTTCATACTAGCTAGGTGTTCCAGTGAATAGACCGCATACACATTAAACTGAACAAGAAAAACAGAAGCAGTAGGTTAAAACTGAGTTAGGTAGTCGTATACGCGTATATGGCGCTCATTGGGGGTGTCAGTTGTTCACTGTTTCCGAATAACAATTTCTCTTAATATAAAAATAATCGAAACTATTTGGTATATATATAGATATAGTTACAAAAGTTAGATTTGGAAAATTTCGTCCGTTGACTGTTAATAGTTTTCTTACCTAATGTGCATTATATTCTCATCTGTCGACCAAGGTGCTTTAGGCGTAGCTGATACTGGAATTTGTTCCTTCTTCGCATATTCAAGTAAGTCGCTTCTTCCTTGGAATCTGTTAAAGAATTCCGGAAGTCGCCATGGTGCAATCACCTTTAGATTTTGAACAAGGTTATTATAAAATTGTAAAATTGACCCGTGACTGTTAATAAGTATGAAGCATTTGCATAATGTTTACATAGATTCACGAAACAGTATATAAAATTAATAATAGTTTAAAAAAGTATGTTTTTATTATTTAAAATGTTTAGTAGGTTTGTATACTAACTTTGCCATCAGGCCAAAGTGAATAAACACTTAATTCAAATCTCACTTGATCGTTACCCTTGCCCGTCGCCCCGTGTGAAATGTATCTGTAAAATAATATTCATTTTCTTGGTACTAAAATAACTATGTACGTTCATTTGCCTCTATAATAAAATCTGTCTAAAATTATAACTTATCTAAGTATAGTAGCCTGTAATAGTAGCCTCAAAGAATTCAGATCGATAAAACATTTATAATTATACCTTAATATATTAGTCTTCATCCTTACATATATACTTATACTTACATTAATACATTAGTATTCATACACCTTTTACTACTAATTGCGCTGTTGTTAAATTACTCACTTTGCTCCCAACTTCTTAGCGGCGTTTACAATTCCAACAGAGATACACGGACGGGCTAAGGAAGTACCAAGATAGTAGCGGCTTTCGTATACCAAACCCATTTGGACGGCCGGGAGCATATAATTAGTCACAAATTCACTACGTAGATCCTCAATAATTACCTATAAAGTTTGAATTTCATTTCAACGTGAACCCTATTCAATAAGAATTCTATTATTATATATGTTTGAAAATTTGAGAAAATTATAAGGTACATATTAAAATAACGATGTACGTTAATATCGAACGGATTTCTAAGTGTCACTCATCATCATCATCACCCTTTTGCGCCATGTAGAACATAACAATCAGTATATAGTAAATAACGATAAGAAGTTCTAAAGAAGATATGAGTTTTCGTCTTACATCTTTAGCACCGATACCCAGAGCCTTCTTTTTTGCTTCACCAAAGTTTTCATCTTGGCCTATATCCGCCATATAGCAGACGACATCGTAATTCTTTTGTATCAACCTAAAAACATAAAAATGATCTAAACCCATCAACTAAACGACAATAGAAACTCAAGTTTTTTACATTAACTACATAAACAAATATCTTGCTATACATAAAAAAAATTGTTTATACAATATTCGTCATCTATGATCTATATAAAAAACAATGAATCGCAAAAAATGATGCTCAGTGCAAAACTCGAAGACGGCTGGACTAAATCGAGTATTTTCTTTTAAATTTATTTATTTTTCCACAGGTTTCATGGAGAGTAATAAAAAAAAACAATTCATATGTACTTTGGTTTTTCTTCCGGAAAAGCGAACAGGCTCTATGGGGTAGCATAGTATAACAAATGTTAAATTTTTGGTATGTAGCTACTAAAAAGGTAGGATAAGTAAAAAAACATATTAAGGCGAAACGAAGTTCGCGGGGCAGCTATATAAAATATATTTCTTTTCGCATGTCAAAAAGAGGCACAGTAAAATTATTCCACTAAAATGTAGCATACCTTATAATTAATGTTTTATGATACTGTTTTTTCTAATAGACGATATATTACTAATAGTGTCAACTAAAGCATATCCATACTATACCATTTTAGAATGCAGCTAGTATCTAAACCGCCGGAGTAAGCCAAAATAATAAGGTCTTTAGCCATCGTTGTCCACACCAAACGGAAACTACACTTGAACAGCGACTATTGTAATTAGTCGGTAATAATAAATGTAAATATTTACTTTTTAAGATAACCCTATATGGACGTAACTCCGCAATCGAGGAATTTAAAACACATTTACACATTCAAAGCGCACACATACACACGGAAAGTGACATATCAGTTTAATACTTTGAATATAATTTATTTACTACTAAGTGCTATATAATTACTAAATATGTACTGATAATTGATATATACTGCTCAAAACAATTAGCGGAACAAGATTTTTCTCCTTTCTATTGCTTAAACTAAAATTAGATTTAAATTAACTTGTACGCTATTTTTTACCTTGTTAATTACTACAATTAATAAAAAAAATCAATTTGTATTTTTTTTATTAAAAAAAAATTAAAATGTGCATTGTAGACGAAAAACTAATCTATAATATAAAAATGGATCGCAAAATGTGTTGGTAAGCGCATAACTCAACAACGCCTGGACCAATTTGGTCAATTCTTTTTTTATAATATTCCTTGAAGTACGAGGATGGTTCTTACGGAGAGAAAAATTAAAAAAAATCGAGTGAAAAAGTCTGAAAACAACACTTTTCTATATTCCCATACAAAAGATTCGTAATAATACTTTAAAGCCAATTTGAACTTTAATACCATATCATAAAGTTTAAGTGTTAGTGGAGGGGTTCCCGGAAGGTAAATTTTTATTTTTTGACATAATGTATTTGTTGTCTTATCAGCTTTCTTTTTTTAACTTACTAGCTAGACCGGTGTCTCGAATAGCAGAATAAGTATTTAAAAAAAATAAGTATTTTAAAAATAAAGAATCGACTGTAAGGCGGTACGATGTTCGCCAGGCCAGCTAGTTGGTGATAAAAAAGGTCCATCAAAGAAATATTCTTATATCGTTTGAATATTCGTCTTTAGTGACTTTCAGTAACGTGTGTGGCCTCCATGAGCCCTAATCACGGCTTGACAACGACGCGGCATGCTTCGTATGATCCTCCGAATATCTTCTTGTGGAATTCGCTCCCATTCTTCAATCAACGCTTCAGTGAGCTGCTGCAGTGTTTGAGGTGCAATCGGACGCTTCCGGATGCGCCTGTCAAGCAAGTCCCAAATGTGTTCAATTGGATTTAGGTCAGGGCTCATGGAAGGCCACTCCATTACACGGATTTCCTGCTGTCGTAAGTAATCTGACGTGATGGCTGCAGTATGCGGCCTGGCATTATCTTGCATTAAAAGAAAATCTGGGCCCATACCATATGCTGCGGGCCAAACATGATCTTCGATGTAAGTTTGAGCACACAAGCGCCCGGGAACAACGACGAGATCTGTGCGCTCGTCCAAACTAACTCCGCCCCAAACCATCACAGAGCCACATCCAAATTTGTCATATTCCTGGACTGCTGCTGCACTGTATCGCTCGCCTGGGCGTCTGTAAACACGGAGACAGGGCCGCGCCGCCCATTTCGAAGTTGCGGTGCAAAGGCGCTGATACAATAAGGGCGCCGCCACCGAAATTATTTATACTACACTACAATATTCTTCGTACGTTTGAAGTTTCATTTTCGCTTTAGGTTTTAGTTTACATTAATTACTCAGAGCTTAGCGAATCAAAAGAAAGGCCGCTGGTGCCGCCGTGGTTTTTTGAGTGTGTTTATGTCTTATGATTTCAATAATATGCCGACATACCTTGATAAAATCCAAAATGAACTATTTTTTATACTCGGTAACCAAATTCAACATTTTATTTTAAATTTATGTCGAATTAATAAATATTTTTCAATAATACTGGATTGTACTACTGACGTTTCACACGAAGAGCAAATTAGTATGATAATAAGATTTGTCAACTTTAACATGTAAACTAGAAAGTTAAGAATAAGAGAGCATTTCCTAGCTTTCCAATTTATAATAGCACTTTCTGCTCAATCGTAGATACAACTGGCGCTGGAGTAACGTCATTTATAATAGAAAAACTAAACGAAATTAATTTGGACATAAAGAACTTAAGGGGGCAAGGCTATGATAATGGCTCAAATATGCGCGGTAAGAATATTGCGGGATGTACGAGTAAATCTCCGCACTTTTTATGTCCGTGCGCAGCCATAGTTTAAATTTAATAATAAATGACGCTGCACTCTCTACACGACTGCGTTTTTTTATTAAAGCAAGAAGAATTGTGCAAGAACTATATAAATATTTTTCGTCCTCTACTAAAAGATGGGATTTATTACAAAGATATGTCATAAATCTGACCTTAAAACGGTTAGATAAAAATAACATCATAAATAAACTATGTAACAATTTAATTCACGTTTTATTTTTCACGGCAATTGGCCAGCGGACGTTTTACCTATTTAAGTGGATTAAACTAAAGAAAAATTTTCTTTCAGTCAAAATTAAAAAATACATTGAAACTTGAAGATTCTTAAAAAATAGGCCGAAATATAGAAGGAGTTCCCTCAAAGGCCTGCAACACACCCGCTAAAAATGTCTATGAGTTCAATGACTGCCATTTTTTCCGTCCCTAAGGCTCGTTTGACCCCTATAGAAAAAGGAGGCGCTTCATGGGTTTCGCACCAGGCGCTGCCGGGGGTCGGCGCGGCCCTCACGGAGACGACCATCGCAACGTGTTAGACGGAATCGTGATTCGTCAGTAAAAAGCACTGGCATCCAATGTCGAAGTTGCCAATTAGCGTGATTTTGCGCGAACTGTCGGCTTGTCTATGTTGAATTGTTAGACGCACAGCCCGAACTGGTCGGCGTGATCTCAAATTGGCTTCCAACAACCTATTTCTTACCGTCTGGTCGGAAATTTCTACACCAGTAGCCGTCCTTAGTGTATTTTGTAGATCTCTTGCAGTTGTGGTGCGGTTACGTAAAGCACAGTTGACGATGTAGCTATCTTGCAAAAGTGTAGTTTTTCTCTTTCGACCTTGACCACGCCTTCGTGAGTATTCTCCCGTGTCACGGTATCGCTTCCAAAGTCTGTAGGTAACAGAAGGGGCTACTCCTAGATCATTTCCTACATAACGCATAGTTCGACCCTCTTCAAGCAAAGCGATAGCTCGGGAGACATGCAATTCAGTCAGATCTGGCATTATGACCTAAACTCACTCGCTTCAATGAATAACAATACTCAAAAGGCTCACTTCAATTTCTATTAATACTCAAAAGATTGAAAAAAACTACTTAAAATGTGTTTTCTGTGATTAGAAAGTAATGAAAATTCAAAGACGTCACTTTGTTTTTCGTCTACAATGCACATTTTAATTTTTTTTTAATAAAAAAAATACAAATTGATTTTTTTTATTAATTGTAGTAATTAACAAATTAACAAGGTAAAAAATAGCGTACAAGTTAATTTAAATCTAATTTTAGTTTAAGCAATAGAAAGGAGAAAAATCTTGTTCCGCTAATTGTTTTGAGCAGTATATATAAATATAATTTAATAATACACTAATTAATATGTGTCAACCGCAGCTTGTTAAACCTCGAGGTTTAAAGATATAATAATATACCTAATATGTACGTTGCATTACTAACTGCCTCATTATTCTAGGTGTTAACATATTCCTCTGCAGATTATGTGGTCTATGGTTCTAATCTCAGGTGGTTCCGAACATAACAATCAGTGTATGTCCATAACTTGGACCTTTTACAGTATAAACTATTGATGTATTTGATTATTTTTTTAGTTTAAGGTTGCGTATGTCAAAATAATTCTAGAAGAGGTACTGATTGTTTTAGTTCCATGCTATAGTCTTTTTGGCACTGCCTTATTTTAAATTATGGTATTCCTACCGTAATTTCTTGAGTAACGAAAAAAATGCTGTAAGGATGCTATTAAGGTTTATAAGTAATTGTTTTATATAATTCCTTTAAATTCCTGCGAAACCCATCGTCTCTAGCGTCCTATCGACTCATATCTACAAATAAAAACATAAATAATGATTACAAATAAATATTTAATAACATATGAATACTGACAAACTTTATATTTTCAATATTTCTACATAATTGCACAAGAACATTTCTAATTTACAGCGGAGCGAGATACACAATTCAATGCAACATTTTTAATTTCCGCTCGTAACTTTAATGTTATTTTATAATCATTATTAACCGTTAGGTGATTGTATGAAGCGTATATTTTATCAATTCTTATTTTAAAAATCCACCACATATTACATTTCGTAGAATTGGTAAAACTCAAAAATACCGTCTCTATAAAAGAAGTATTGATAAAATCTCGCAATTTTTGTCGTATTTCAATACGATGAGAAATTTTTCTTTTTAATAGAAAAACTTTGGCTCATAAAGTTTTTCTATTACAAGAATGTGCTTGACCACACAATTTATTTTCCTAAACTATACAAATCTGCGACAATTATTTTAAATTACAGCACTAAACATTATTATTAGTAAGAATAAACATATTTGCTAGAGATAAAGTCATGTGACTGAATGATTAAATCTATATATCAATATGTAAACATGGAATGTAAACATTGCTATTGCTAAGGAAAACAATTACTTTATTTTTATATTCCGACATAGATAATTTTATGCCAACAACAAATAATGCGTACAATATAACTATTAAATAAATTGTAAATATACTGGACCCGATTTGGCTACACGCACTCAAATAACCAATATTCTCATCTCGTGTTCGATTATTTGAAGTGAAAGCGAGAATTCGGTACATAATTGAATACTGTTTCAATGCAGAATATCTTTTATCTCTGAGACATAGAGAGTTTTAAATTTTATTAAATCGCAATATTTTCCATTCTGCCTAGCCAATATCAGTGACGCATTAATTGGCATGATTGTCTTTGCACACAAATTTTAATATTCAGAATATTTTGGGAGACTGTGCTACCAAATCGGTTCGATTGCCATTTAATGTTAATTATAAGGTATCAATACACAAACTAAATTACAAATAGATACCGTGTATTATATGTATTTAAAATCTAAGTGATATTTTGAAATATGCGATAAACACTTAATTCTTATATTTTATTTCTACTAACAGGAAATGTTATTATGTCACACGTACAACACTTAATTATTTAATGCGTTTAATTTAAACACGCCACTATCTATTTTATATTATAATCATAATAAATTAAGATAAAATAAGCTATACAAGCCATAAACTATAATACTTTTGACGAAACGTAATAAAATTTAAGTAACGGCAACAATAATAAAATCTAAATGTAAAACAATGATTATCTATTCCATAGATAATGTGAAATTAGGAAATCGACATGGGTTGTCAAAATTATGCTTACTAAGTAAACTTTTTGGTAATTATTCAAACACATTACACTCTACATTAATGTTAGGCTCTTTTTTACTACGAAATCTATACAAAGCAAGAGATAAGTTTAAATATAGAAGCGATCACATTTATCTTCTGTCATATTAATGACTTCATCTTAATATGCAGCCTTAAGCCCATATTTTTTTACTAACACACCACTAGTTTTCGAAACATTTTATATTTCAAAGTAGTATGTAGTACTACCAAAACGCAAAAAAGGCAAATGCAACGAGGTGTTAATAAATAAAATAAAACCTTGAAATGTTCATGAACGGAGATGCTTCTTTTTATAGCATACAAATTAAACGAATACATGTATTTCCATATTATATTCGAAGCCATCCTCAATGATTTATAAGCTGTCATGAAATTATTTCATTGGACGTTGAGTTAATATTGACTTGACTTGAATTTTATATGAAATAAAAATAAATTACCAAATAAAACTGATTCGGTTAATTTAAGCAGTGAGAGAGCTGAGGTCTGAGAGGAAGTTGTCGGGCGTAAGGAGGTGAGAGGATCCGATGATGACCTCCCAGTTCTTGAGAGCGGCAGTCACTTCATAGGCGGCACGCACCTCTGAGAAACATACACCTGTAAACAAACACTTATTATTAAAAATAATCTAATACGTTTGCGCTACGCTATTTTTTCAACCTTATTTGTAATTCACTTTAGCTGATGACATAAACTGCTAAATTTAACGTACTTAGCAAATATTGGTATCAGAGAAAATCAGAATTTTCATATTAACTTTCGTAATGTAATAATTGAAATATTATTTACTCTTCCGTCATATTCTACTTCTGTTATAAAAGTGAAGATGTTTGTAAGTTTTAGCAACAGATATCATATTTTATGACGGAATTGAATAATATAAGATCTAGACTATTTATAAGTTTGACTTTCATAGTATCCACACCATTATCTATTGGTTTATTTAACGTGTACCATAAATCTAAAACATAGGAAATAACTATAGTTTATATCAACAAAATAATTATTGCTTGTAGCCCTGCAATTTATGTATAATATTGCAAAACAACATTATTATGCAATGAGTAAGAATAAATACTGATTATATTTTTATTTTGCTAAAACCCTCTTAAATCTTAAATATTTTTTCAAAAGCCAAACTTAATGGTTTGCCGAAATTGAAAGTTAAGATACGCATTAAACGCATCTTAAATATGTACCATATTGTGTAACGTGGAGAAAACAATTAACAAGGGGTCTTAGACTTTACAAATCTCTTAAATATTTAAGTACTTTATATATTTGGCTTAATTCATACCTCCAACAACAAAAACGATAAGTCTCGGTACATTTTTGACTGTCTGTTGCGCTTTGTCCTTGTGCCAATGACCGTAGCGTACACTGGAATAATAAAATTGACCTTTATAAGATAGATATTATATTATTTATGTTGTTGAAGTTGTTGTGGGCTTATCTTTATTTTTAAAAGTACAAGAATTTAAACACTATTAAATCACATTGTGTTCCTTAAATTACAAAATCAATTTTATATGAATTCATAATAATTATAAACAAGCAAAAAACTATAATAATGGATTTTTATATTTTAACAACGTGGTCACACTTTTTAGTGTGCCGGTCAAAAAAAACTTACCTAGTAGGTGCTTGATATCCCGAGGTCTGAGCACGTCCAGCGAGGAATGGGAAGTGACGTTGGTCCAATTTGTCATCGATAGCGTCTTCCATAATGTCCTATAAAGGAATTTACATCGTACAAATAAATCAGGCCACAATAATTTTCTAGTAACATGGAATATGGAATACCTGTCTGACTGACGGGTTTAATAATAGTCATACATTCTTTAGTGTTCTATTAGCAAATAAAATTGATATATTTTTATTAATGCCGCCTCGGTGGCGATGATGGTGTATGACCGTGTTGAGTTCGATTTTGTTGAGGCCAATAAATACTTTTTACTGTTGGCAACACTAGGAAACACAACATATACAACAAAACAGTTGTGGCTTACGCGTTAGCCTTTTTATTTCAAGATATGACGGACATTTGACATTTACCTTAAAAAATAAATAAAAACTTATTATGAAGCGTGGATTAAAACCAAAACTTTAGCCAAAATAAACACATATGTTATATACGATAAGAAACAGACAATCGATACTAATAAAACGATACTTAATATAACAGATCATATTCTTAATTATTTAAAAAAAAGGACTAAAGATAGTACATGGTACTATCTTAAGTCTAAACACATCACATATTATAATAATACCAATATAGTTTAATACTTTGAACCCTAACCTTAAGAACTGGAGTCCATCGCGACATCTGGTAAGTCTGTTCAGTAATCCTCTCCTTGCGGGGAACTTGGTACTGCTTCTTTCTGTTGCCCTGAAGCAATGAAAATAATTACTTCATTGGTATATATGTTTTTTCTATACTTAGGTGAGTGTTAGCCTAGTTGTGTACAAAATCAATTTTTCTATGCGATAACCCGGCAATGGTTACCGGATGAAATGAAACCGAACCTAACTCATTGAATCAAAACATTAAATCTGATATTGAAACAAATTAGTAGCTTCTTTTGAGAAATATTTGCATGAATCATAAAAACTTCGTGGTTGGTTTTTTTCTTTTTAAATGACATTATTTTGACAGTTGGGAAAGAGAACGCACGAGTTCGGCAAAGGTAAAGAAAAAGCTCGAGTATGCTCACATCCCGAAAGGCCACATTTCCCTGCAATACGCCACTTTTTGAGCTACTGTATTAAAAAATAACTTACATCAACGACCACATTCAGTCCAAGGTTAGCCAAATTAAGCAGGGCTTGCTTGTCCGAAGGTTCCAGTTGCGCGTGAGTCACCAGTTTGTTCAAATTCTCTTCAGAGATACCATTCTTCGACATGATGTATAGAGCGATTATGCGCATCTTGTCGTAGTTTTTGACAGCCTGTTAGTATTATAGATCATTATTATGGGTTTACACAAGTGTATATCTGCAGGAAGATAGGAAACAATGTCACAGACTACATAATATAACAGAATTAGTGCAGACTAAATATTTCCGACAACCGCTTCGTATTCGATAATACTGTTTTATATTTAAACTCTGCCTGAAAAGTAGAATATTTATCAGCTACTAGGTTTATCAAAATACTTTTCCGTATGCCCGGTAACTCTGAGATGCTTAAGCAAAAATGAAGATATTAAAAGAAATTTAATATATTACCTGATCCAGAAGCACTGGAACAATGCTTCTCATGTGATCCTTTATCTTTTCACCCTCAGCATCAGTTCCCATGGCAAGGTCCTGCAATTTACATAATCTTGAAGAAGAATAAGGACTTTCCAAACTTAGGGTAAGATGCAAAGTCGACTATCACTTTAGTATGTCAAAATCTAAGTAACATTCAAAATGTTATTTATTTACCTACTTATAATTAATTATACAACTACCTTAACAGCTTATAGCCAATGCGATATAACTCAATTACCGCAACATAGGATATTTAGCGTAATTTTTGCGTATTCGCTCTGAGAACATATACAAATATCAACCGTTTCCCTTAGTACGTATTATCGCAACCCTTTGTTAAGAGTGCCTGGTGCCACAAATTCGTTCTGCCTTTAGGGACTGCAAATAACCTTCGTTTTTGCCGTTTTTAAATAGCCGCTTGTTACAAATACACTGAGTTCTTGCAGAACACTAGGATTACTAATAATTCCCCGAAAACTTTCCCGAAATCATCCCTGATTGGATACAACAACACAAACAATGTTGGATACATTAAAGGATAGATAGGATAAGTACCATAAAGCCGTTGGTATAAAAACCGTGTAAATTTATTCTATACTCTGATTTTTTATTCCGTAGAATTCTGAGAGCTCTCATTTTTTGACATGTCAGAGATTAGAAACCTTTTTGGCCGGGCACATTTTTCAATTTCGATACGAGACGGAACATCGGAGTCTATACATTTTATTTGATAGTGAATGTATATGGATGTACGGTGCTCCTCATTAAAAGTGGTTTACGTGATAATTACGTCCCTTTTCATCACAAACAGTAAAAAACGCACAAGTAAAGATAACATATTATTTTTATGTTTAGCACACGAATTCGTAGACAGCCATCTAAAGAATAAAATAAAGTAATAACAGTTAATTCGATATATTGTTCGTGATATTTTTGTATTAGGTCACTTGAGTAAATAATTATTAGGTAAAACATAAAAAAATCCCCTATTATTGTGTTATTGCCATCAAATGGGTAAAATTTGTCCCTTTTTCAGTAGAGAACTTTTTTAGTAGCAACACTTATGAAATTCAGAATTCTACGGAATGAAAAATCAGAGTCTAAATGCGATCCATCATGATGTGTCAATGTTGTTCATATTACCTGTTCAACTTTGCACAACTTGTCGACGTAGCCTTGGTAAACCTTCATGCAGTCTTCGGCCAACCGCAGATGAGTCGCGTATTTCGATAACTCTTTTTGGTACTGCGGCATCTTCTTTATCATAAGCGATAGATCCCTCATTGATTGTTTGTCACCTGTTTTTAATGTAATTTATATAAAGCATAATAAGTGAGTTTTATTATTTTCAGAGTAAAAATGAAATTTATCCTAAACAAAGTTTAAATAAAAATTGGGTGTATTGAATATTAGAAACATTGTGGCCAGTGTGATAACAAGCGATTTCTTCGGAATCGGAATAATCAGGAATGTCAAGAAGAGTGCGATATTATATAAATTATAATGAATATATTAAGCTATATCTTAAACCTTTTTTGTTTTGTGCAGGGGAAATTCTAAAATCTTTAAAAAAAAATAATATATATTATCTTTAGATTATTTACAGGGATTTATACGATATCATACCTCCCCCCATTCGCTTTGACTCTGTGAATTTCTTCAAGTTCTTGGTGACTGAGGTGGAGACCACGGCGATATGCTGATGACGAAGTTCCACCCAAAGTTCATCGTTTTCATCTAAAAGTACTTCCTTCATCGAACCCGCGGAAGCTTCATACCTTCAAACCAATATGATATCTCATCACCATTCTTTATGAAGAGTGAATTTTTCAAGGGTCAAAAATCAAACTACAAGGATTATTGGAAAACACTGTCAGAAGCCTCGCTGTTAAATGCAACGAAACTTTTAATTTTATGACAATAATTGTAAGTAGAATTTCTTTTCAAATTTGCTAATAAGTTTGAAAAGTGTATGTTGAATTATTTAAAAAAATTTTTTTGGTTTGGATGAGATACGGTAAACACATTTCCTAAATTTTCTTTACAATTGTCGTGGCGGCTTCACCAGAGGTCCTAATGTCCTAGATAAAGTATATCTGACAGCTGTCATATGGATATAATATTTCTGAATAGAAAACGCATCATGAGCCTATTCGGATCGTGAACATGCATCGTTCAATAATAAATATACATAATGTGTGGATAAAGTATTGTGATTCAGAAGGAACTTTTTGGTGAGCTAGATTCGCCGTGTCGCCGGATTTTTTTTTAAATAATAAAGGAATATAAATGTAAAACAAAAGTCGATGGTTCGTTTGATTGTAATTAGTCAAACGGAGGCAATGGACAAATCTTTTGCCTTATCACCCCTAATGAAAGTATGGTGAAATCCCACATAGTTCAGGGCAGATTTCTGCTTCAAATATTTTTTCTAATTTTACTAGACAATTTTTAGAGTTATGGTAAATCAAAATATATTTTTTACCTGTACACGTCGTTCTCAATGGGCAATAGATCATAAGCCATAGCCTGAAGGGTGAGCTCATGCAACAAAGGAGATACACAGTCAAAGCCGCGGTCCAACACTAATAGTTGGGACCGGGCCTTTTCTGGTCCTTCACCCATTGTTGGCTCATCAGCCTGTAAAAAAATTATATTTATATAAACTCTGAAGCATATTGCTCTTATGTTTAATGTTGTGTTTGGTTTACGAGAGTACAGTAAAATAAGTTGTCTTAAGAGAGGATACTCAGATAAATTATTATGTACATAAACGCTTGTAGTTATATTATTAGTATAGTTGAAACAACAACTATCAAGACAAGCATTTGCCTGCAAATTCCTTGGTGGAAGGTACAGTCTGGTTTGTGGACTCAGTTTCCGCACTTACATTCTCAATAGGTCCATTGTGCGTAGAGGTACAGTCTTAGATGGTGAGACACGCCTGACCAAAGTGTATAGTAAAATGGGTGTAAGCAATAGAGCATGAGCAAGGCACATCGAATAAATGATTCACCCGAAATAGCACCCTTAGCTTATGTGAAATCAAAAAAAGAAGAAAGAAAATAAATATTCCTCCAGAAAGTCAATATTCCTTTATTGTTAATTAGCAAAACTAAGAACACTTTTATAAAATTTTCTTACCTTATATGCGTCAAGTTTCTGTTGAATGAGTTGAGCAAGCTCCACATTACGTTCCCAGTCACTGAAATAACAATAAGTTGTTCATATCCGAAATTTCGCTTGAACAAAGCGAGTTTGGTAGTACAATTGCAATTTAAAAAGTATGTAACTGTTTTGTGTGACAATACAAAAAACAATGTAAAATATATTGTTACTATGTTCCAAACAAATTTTATTTCTTAAAATTTATAAAAGAAGTCTACCTGCGATAGCGCACTGATGGGTACTCTCCGAGAGTGGCGCAGAGAGTAGCAATTTGTTCTGCAATTCGCTCCATGTTAGCATTACGAGTCTGCGTCAATGCTGGGTTGTACATGCATTGGAAAGTCTCCGGAGAATCCAATGAGAATACCTAAAACAGTTTAAACATTTGATATCTTCTATATTGACTCATCATGTGAAACCAGACATTAAACTGCATAAAAACACATACTTTTGTATTTATAATATTAGAGCCGTTGTTATAGTGTGATTATGTAACTCATACTCATTATTATAAAAAATATTACATATAACTTACTAACAATACAGAAATCAGACAATTGTATATTGGTATATCTTCAAAGGTATATCTTCTTCTTGTTAAACAAGAAAATTCTTAAGTAAAAAATTAACTAATCCCTAAATTAATCTAATATATATAAAATTCTCGTGTCGCGGTGTTTGTAGTTAAACCCCTCCGAAACGGCTTGACCGATTCTCATGAAATTTTGTGTGCATATTGGGTATGTCTGAGAATCGGACAACATCTATTTTTCATCCCCCTAAATGTTAAGGGTAGTCCACCCCTAAATTATATTTTTTTTAATTTTTAGATTAAATTTTTTTTTTATAATACAGCATTAAAAAATACATACAACCCTAAATTTTCAACCCTCTACGATCAACCCCTATTTTTTATTAAAGCAGATACATAGTTATTTTTATTAAACTAAAAAAATGTTTATAAATAATATACATGGCATAACGACGTTTGCCGGATCACCTAGTAGACCATAAAAAATTATCATGAAATTAAATTAATCAAGATTCCTGGGACTACAACTTTTGTATAAACAGAAATCCAACTAAAACCTATTGATTGATCTGTAAAGATCTATTTGCATGAAGTAGTAACTACTCAAATAAACAAAAATCTTATTTAAAAAGATATTTCACCTGGCTCTCATATGGTAGGAAAGCAATGTTAATTTCCTTCAATGTTTTAATTTTTCTGGCTGCTGTGGACTTGCAAAGTTCGTTGAACAATTCCTCAGGACACACTTAGCAGCGTGCAAAATAATTCAACATTACATATACCTTAATGATTGTTACTATACAATTCTATAATCACCACAAATCTCAAATGATAAATATATTCAGTGTTATACCTGTAGCCATTAAATTTTTATTGTATGGCTTATACTATTTATTAAATAAGTAATTAAGCATTTATTTATTGAGTGAAGTGTATGAGAAATCATACTAACAAAATATTTACCAACTAAAGATTTATGTTGATGTGACATATAAATAAATAGCTGGGGTATGTGATTTAATCAAGCAAAATAAAACAAACCTGTTGTTCATAAGGTATATAAGCTATGTTGATTTCCTTTAATGTTTTGATGAACTTAGCTACGCGACTACGGGACAATTCATCAAATAGTACATCAGGACAAGCTGGAATGAATTTAAAATGAAATGCAACTAAAATCAAAATTGAGTAAAGTAATTAAGCATAAAAGTATATTTAAATAGAAATAAGAAATAATATATAGGGAATAGTTTAAATAATGGTAAAGGTGGAAATATGTTGATAGGTTGGAAATTGGTTTACTACATCTCCCATTTGGTATAAAATGCATATTTTTATTGTTTACCTTCAGTGAAGAACACATGAGCAGCCTTGTACATAATACGATTTCCAATAGAGAAGTCATTTATTAAGGCATGCACAGACTTCTCAGAGGGAGTTATCAAGTAAATGCCATCCATGGTGTATAAGGGTTCCCTCTTCTTGTGAATGTCTTCTACCACTAAAACAAAAATATATTGTTTATATTGTATTACACTGATAGGATACTATATAATTTTTAATAATAAACTACACTACCGCCATGTTATAATATTTATATATAAAGTTAACTCAATAATAATTTATAAATGCCATATTGCCAAATATACATACAAGTAATTCCTTCAGCAGAAATGTCATGCATTTTACAGCATGCAGACACCATCCTCATTGACAATTGGTCTACAATTAGGATCCTCCATTCTACCTTTTGATTATCTTTTCCCTTTGGCCTATAGCGAATTACTTCATTCATGATCTCTGTAATAATTTTAAACATGAGTAAACAATATATATATTCTACATAATGTCTATAACGATATTCAGGTTGGCTGGTGTGATACAATTATGATTAGGTATGTTTATAAATTTATCTAGATTAAAAATTTCATAATGTTATTAAATGAAGTAGGTATCTAGTTGTGTGCAATCACACTTTTAAATATTTTATTCATTGTAATAAGATTACAAATGACCTTTTAAAAACCATATTTATAATTTAAAATTGCATACAAAGCGGACAGTTAATAAACTGCAGAATGACGTTTTCGTTTGCCACCATTCCCACCCCACTTTGAGGTGTCAAGAAAATCAATAACCACCTACTGTAGCATTAAATCAATATTTCTATTCGTAGGAAGAATGAAGATATTATTTAAAGTATAAACATTATTACTTGTAAAGTTAAAACACAATAATGTAAGCAGTGAAGTATTAAGGTATTTTTATATACTTCATTGACTTATACACGACGAAATTTCTGTTATACAATTCATGAATAAATTTAATTATAATGTAATAAATTAAAGGTGATATTTCGTAGTAAAATTATAAATTAAATAATCATCTTAAAAACCAAATCTTAGTCATCAACGATGTGGGATGGTCCAAATCGATGTTACTCAGCCATTTATTAAGCAATGTTAATGTACAAAATGTCAGTTTTACTTACTTTGACCCACAAGAGCTTTTAGAGCCATTTTAAGGTGTTTAAGTATTTATAGTACAGCACGATAAAAGCTTATTTCTTTTTTAGGACAGAAATAGTTGATGATTATTCCAAAACCGAACACAAATTGTATTGTCCTCTAACACAAATTAAGAATTGAGAAAATTCTCATAGGTAGTCAATTGCTAGAAATTTTACACTTGACATTGACGCATAAAGAAATATAATGTCAGCTGTCGGTTGACATTTAACTTAGACTTAGTATTCATTAGATAGAGTGTATGCCACATGAGTTAGATATACTTGAAAACTATGTGGGATTGATTGGATAAAATGAGGCAAATTCTAAATATACCAGTACTGCCAACGGCCATAAAATCATGTACTGCCGAAGTGACTATAAGAGAACATATTGTTGGTCTACCGGAATCTCATGGCATAAAAAAAAATAAAAAAAGTGAGATTTTCATATGGCAATATTCGTCAAATCAAAGTACGAGATAGTATGATTAGATTTTCGAGATTTTCGAATCGATGGAACACCCTTCATATTCACCTTACATTAACTATTTCCGCGATTAAAGGAACATCTTAGACGCCGCAGTAGTTGCCGTAGCATAGGATTTTTACGGTATCAGGAAGAAGATTTTTTAAGGGAAATTATTAACATTTAATAATTGCGTCTTTTTCACTTTTTATTGAATAGGTATCCCTTAGAGACACCTCTCACTGATACTTTAAAAAATATATGTCAATTATTAAAATAAAAGAGATCTGCGGATCAAATAATTTACAGTTACACGAATATTTTAAAGAAAATGCTTATCCTATATCACGGCGACGACTGCGGCCGCTAAGATGTTCCTTTAACCGCGGAAATAGTTAATGTAGAGGTGAATATGACGTAAGGTGTTTCATTAATTCGAAGCCAGCTTTTTGAATGGCCACGGCAACTCGACTTGGCGCGGGGGCATTATAAACGCCGTTGCTTGCGAGTTACCTCACGCAACTTTGTTATTTGTCCGTGTACAAAGTACTTGTATTAGTGGTTACATGATTAGAGTACCTTATCAATTATTACCACCTCTTGGCTATCCCACAAAACGCAGCTAATATTACCGGCGTATGGAATTGCCTTAAATTTCCTTAGTAGTCAAAAAAAATTTAAGGCAGATCACGGTATTTTTGTTTACTATGTACGACTCATGGTTTCCCATGATGACCGAGTTTTAGCTCGATTCATAACTATGAATCGAGCCAAAACTCGGTCAAGATTTGATTGTTGTAAGAAACCTAAAGAGCTTTGAGAAATTCAGTCTCAAATCTTCATCTCTTCTGCTATAAAACAAACAGTAACACGACGGTCCCCCAATATTAACCTTTTAATATTTTTTTCAGTCTCTACTCTCTACCGATGTAGGGCGACGCTTGCGAGGTTTGTCGTTAATAGAAGATCTTCGCTTGACCTCATCATACCAACGCGCAACCATATAATATGGAGAAGCATGAACCCCTTATGTTGCTCTCAAGTCTCAATTTACCAGTTCCTTAGTAGAAAGCAGACATATTTTATCATTGCGCGAACTTCAATTTTATAAATTTTTAAGAACACCTTCCGACACGACGCAAAGAAATGTCTTCTATTTAAAAGAAACAAAAGAGAATGGATTGCTTTTATTATTATTAAATCTGACGTCTATATAAATCTACGTGTATGTCAGTTGAAAAGAATAATATTGAAGCCATGATATTATAATTAATTGTTTATTACACAAGAATACTAGTACTTATTAGAAATAATATTACTTATATTTTATGAATTATGCACGTAGGTTGTATACATAATATACAAAAAAATATCTTAATACCACCCCCCCCTGCAACCTCTTCTGCACACTTATTTATATATGTATTCTGTCATAGTTAAAAAAGTTTTGAAGTACTCTTCAATGGTTGAGTAAGTACTAAAAACATTCAAAGTTTACTTATAAATAAAGTAGCTAAAAAAAATTTAAACATAATTTACAACATATAAATCAATAATTAGTTGCGCGTATTTATGAACCTTAAATTGTATTTGTCAAAATTATGCTATTAATATTAACCATCTAGGAGCTCATCCAATAGGATCTATCGGACCTATATTGGTAGCTTGAGTGGGAGAAAAGAATTGGAACAGCATAATATTAGAACTGCGCGCGCATTTTCATCAGTAGGGTAGCTGATGATAGCCACGTGAGAGGGTCAATACGAGATGACAGAGAGATGCTATGATAGAGCTGTTTCTTTCTCGCATAGTCGAGCAACCATGGCAAAATTCAGCTCGTTCTTCGGTGGCATTCGGACAAAGTCGCGCTTCGCTAACGAATCACACCGATTCACATATCACAGATTAGACAAATCACAGTTCAGTTTTTTGTAAACTCGTTAGGTGGTGGATGTGAATAATGTTGGAAGAACTGTTTTGTCACGTGTGCTAGTTTTAAATTTTAAATACTTATTTTTGTTGAGGTGATTGTTTAGTATTAAGAAGTTGAAAAGAGATAATGCGGCCACTTTAGAAAAATATTTTAGATTTTCTTATTAATAATATAATCCAATATAACTCTTTTTTATCATATGTGGGTATAAATAATACCTTTATAATTAGTTTCCATTTGTAGTTATTTTTAATACAATATTTTTATTTACTTTGTTTTTAGGGCCATTATTAGTAATGGTCTCACTATTTGTGGTTTTTCAATAACAAGTGAAAGTGTATCTTTGTTTTAGTAGGTTGAAACCATTCATAGTTGATTTTAAACTTTCCTAACGATAGTGTCGGTGATTGTAAATTTGTTGGTGATGCAGTGCGCTTGCAATTTTTTAGCACTGAATTTCTAAGAGACAAGATGAATGATGATATAAAATTAGTCATCGTATACCCTTGTCGAGCTGAAGGCTGGTTAGACAGATGCGGTAAGTAAACACTTAATTATTTTGCATACAAATGTATTTTATTCGTATTTTTATATCAATACCATGAGTCAGGTCGATAATAAGATTTTAATGATGATCAAGCCTAGGAAGCTGTTGAATCCAATACAACGTGTATTAAATTCAATAGCTTCCTAGGCTTGCAAGTTGCAACGGCCATCAAAGGATTGCCTATTATTTTTATTATCTGGCTTATACTTATGTAGCCAGTAGACTTAAGTACCTTTATAGTCTTTATGATGATGGCGACTTTTCGGTACTTAAGCCTTACTAATTTTCATTGTAAAATAATTCTAAGAATACATTCTTACAAGTATCGTAAGTCGTTACTACGTATCTACGTGGACAGAGCTTATGTATGAAGTTTATTAGGTACCAATTTCATATTTTAAAATTATATTTAACATTGTAGAAGAGCACGATACGGCTTACATTAAGAGTTATTCTAGGGTATAAGAAACAATAAACTTATAGGTGCCTTATATCATATTGTTTATTATATTTATTTTATCAAACCGTAATGTTAGGGCTTTTGGATTTCTACTATCAAATTCCGTTTCGCGTTCGCGTGGCAGCGATTGATCGATTTGCTTTCTAGCTATGTTTATTTAGACATACTAATAGGTAGGACATCTTTTCCACTTTACCATAACATGTAAATTCCATCCACATACGGTACCTACATGCGCACTTATTTCCAGAAATGGCGCAAATGAAACTTCTGCTTAATTATTTAGTAAAATGGTATCTCTACCTATAATTACGTAAATTAGCTCTTCTAATAGCCCCTAATACTTTAAATTGTCATGAACGTATTTTTACCTGAATGGATAATGTTAACTACGGCTATTTAGACAGTAGGTATGGCCAATGAAGCTTACCTACTATAAAAGCGTGTTTCAAAGTAAAATAGAATTAAAAAAATGTTAAAGTAAAACCTTTCCCACATACCCCTAAACTCTGGGACACGTCTATGGTTTTATTACGGCAAAACCATACTATCAAATTCTACCTTGGTTGAATTTCCGAAAATTGTGTTCTGCAATCCACATCCCAATTAATAATTCTACTTTTGTTTAAATTTAAGCAGATAAACATGCATCTGGTAAAGTTTCCGGTTTAATTCAAGGTTTTGAAAATCTTATTACTTCGCCATGTTTATTATTATGCTGGAATTAAAAGGCGAAGTTAGATCGATTATACTACTTCCTTAAATCTTAAGATACGAAATATTTAGATCAATTTAGAAAATACATAAGAGTTTTCTCTCACTTTACATGACTAATAGATGAATAATGCAAGAAAATCCACACCCTGGTCGTGCCTTGAATGAGTAAATGTTATTCGTGTTTCATGATGCATATATAACTCAGGATTTACATAAAAAGTGAAAATTTTCTCGGAATCACCAATGGAAGAGTAAATACCAAATCACTTAACGTCAATGAATGTTTACGTTTTTCTACTTTAGTACAACAATGATGTCTTTTAGGACAACTATTTGTATATATTTTCTAAAGCTTATATAACACTTTTGCCCCAGACAAAGACACCAGCCCTTGATCTGCTACATGTTTATTGGTGGCCGCTACTTTTTTCTTTTCCAGAACATTCTTTTCTAGGTTTAAGGTGGTAGCACGGATAGTCCGTGTAAGCCTGGGATTGGGAATTAATAAGCTTTACATTAAAAAAAATAAAGTAGTTGTACTATGAGGTATGTGTCTTACATTTTATTCAATGTTAGCTACACGTACAAATTGACGTGCTCCAATGGTGTGGGGACCGTTAGATTGTAAGACGTGCCATGCCTATAAAGTACATTCTTATAGAAAAACTGTTTAATTTTGTGTTGTTTCAAATTTATTATGACTATAACAAGTGAAGAATTGGAAGTCATGTTTAGTTATTAAATTGAATTAATTACTTACGCGAACCACACATAGTAAGTAAGTATCGTGAGTTTTACTTTACTTATGTAATCCAGGCTCATCTAAATTAACATGTACTGGACAATTATTCTGTATTTTAAGTATCATGTGGTACATTATAAAGTTA